GAGCATAACCTACTGTACATTTACATGCTATTCAAAGTAAATCTGCTAGGGGGCACTGTATCCACATCCCTTCAGCCTAACTCTCAAATTACTACAAGTAACACAGACTTTAGCACACTTGTTTGGTTTTGTGAGTCATGCCCCAGTGCTTGTTTTGCAGGAAGTTTGTAGTATTTCAATCGTCACATTTTTGTTTGAATCATTCTTTATCCTTGGCTTGAGAAGTTTCCTAAACAATACAACTGTGTTTGACATTTGTTGCAGTTTGAAAGATTGAAACCCAGATATCTTCTTGCAAAACAGGTAGTAAGGAATAACTGTGCAAACTGTTTGTCTATACTTGACGCTTGAGGAAAATATTGTACACCTGAATGATGAATTATGACAAAAAGGAAAATGATTAATAATGTCACAGACAAAAATAGAATACTGACATTTTGTTTCCTACAATGCTATTATGAACTTTTGACACCTATTTCTAGGTGTGTATTGTATAGGTGTGTATTATATAGGTGTGTATGAATAGGTTTCTGGGCACAAAAACGGATAGCACCCAGGCTATGAATGGGTTGCTGTTAAGCAGTTATAATGAAAGACATTTATTTAAATCTTACTGCAGGACTCGAAGAACTGGGTGCATATGCAACTTACCCAAATATTTTCGTAGGTTTATGTATGTAAAGATGTTAAATGTACAGTAGTATACAGTATATTCTTAAGATCCAAGTGTCAGAAAAATAATAAAGTCATCGTTATAGTACTTTTTCTTTAGAAGTGAAATATTAGTTTTTGCTGACATTCTACTTATTTTATCTCATGTGATGCACCCAAAAAATATTTGTGCACCCCAGTTTTTTAGGTTGGGTGCACCAGTGCACCTATTACTATCCCATTGTATCTGTATGCTATGGAATAGGGTTGATTCGACGTACTACATAAAAAAGCATACCAGAAAATTGGCTTTGAAAATCCCATTTTACTGACTCGAAATATGATTGGGTGCCTTTAACAGACAAGGTTATATGGTTGGTATTTGTAGCATGTTCTTTCACGGCGCCTCACGCAATGTTATTATAACACACAGACGTGGCGTGGCCTTGCCATCCGTTCTGCCGCCTAATTCTGTAATTGTGCAGAAGAAAAGGGGAGCGTGCAACAAGCCTGGCACGCCCGCCTCTGTAGTAGTTAATTGTATGAATAAAATATGATGTTTTTAACGTTTGTTTCTTGGATACAACCTTGGGGGATTTGAGGGAAGAATGCCCAGTCTCTGTGGAGCCTTTCTGCACTGCTGATCCGATGGATTTATGGAATAACATCGGTTCAATAGTTCAATTCATAGACATTCCATAGGTAATGCATGTTTCTATGAGCGGGTAGATGGAGGCATGCCAGCAACCTTACCTTGGTGCTGACTGGCCATCCATTCAGTTATGGCTGTGAAAGTGATACAAAACTATTCTTTGGTACTTAAGCATGTGTGTTACCATTGCTCAGCATATTCTACATTCTGAAATAAGTTTTTTTCAAAGATACTAGAAATGTGGAACCCCAAATCAACTTTAAAGGGGTTTATGTGCAATTAAAGGGGCGTCATGTAACATTTTTGCACCAGAAATTAGAGTATCTTAATGTAAAAAAAATCTTCTTATGATTGCAATTTACTTCCACTTTTCAATATATTTGTGAAATTATCTCACATACCTGACATTTATGGCTGGCAATAAAACCACGATATTTATTTTGTGGCACCACCACAAAATACGAGAATGTAAACAAATATGGCTAACAGCTGTATTTCCAGCTTTTAAACACGCACATATTTTTGCACCTCCACTTTCTGAATGACACGTATGTCTCAAATGGACTTCTATATTTTCAACCAGTTTTGACGTATGTCCAGATCATACAAAACCTTGAGGCCTGAAGGCTGGTATACTGTTGGAAAGTTATGTTATCAACCAAGGATTGAGGTATTCAAAAATTCATTCTTTTATAGAACTATTGCAGACTAGAACTCACTGTCACCAAGTACAGTAGGGGCATTGTCATTAGATAGCTTTAAACAGTGCCTAGAGTTAGATATTCAAGGGTGTGTAACAGGTCGATCAGTATAATGTAGCCAGCTGCCGCAGCGCCGCGTGCCTGCGAAGCCGGTGTGTTACGCCGAAGGGCAGTTATACCGGCTATACAGATACAGAAACGTACGTCAAAGCAGGCTGATATACACGCAGAAAAAATTCGCTCACTGTACGCAGTTTTCCGACCATCAGATTTTTGCCTGCCGCTGGGCTCTTGTTTCAAAATGTACATCTCAGTGTCATGAATTATGTATTAGCACTAATTAGGTATGATTGGGTCATTATAGGATGGTCTGGTTAAATACAGGGCACCAACCCAAATCATTAAAGATGGATGAACCACAAATTTGGAACCATATAAAATTTTACCTACTGTAGATTTGAAACACTTTAAAATTCTAATTTATTTTTTGTTTGTCTTCTTTGGATATTTATGTTCATTTGGTTGTAAATGGTTTGATCTGACCCCCTTAAATAACCATAAATAACTTTTCACTAATTTCAGCTTGTAGCAAATAACCATTCGTCGGTTCTATCATGATCATCTTTAGGTCCAGACTAGGGTGAATTGTCCCAGAAATTAGAGCTATAAACACATAATTTTTGTCTTGTTGGTGTGGGAAGGGGTTTGAACTATTATCATCTATGTGATAATTACTGTAACTGAGGTTAGATTACTGTTGTAGTGACGTCATGCCCTTTCTCAGCTTTCTCCTTTTTACCCCAATCATGGTGTGATATTTTAATGCATGACAGTGTATGGCAACAACTGTTGAACATGTATAGTACGAAAATGAGATAAAGAATAAAACTTAACATCCCAATCACTAGAACAATAGATACTTACTAGCATAAGTCTTTGCTATAGTGTTACAATTGAGTGTAACACTAACTGCAAGCATCATTTAAGTAGATTTTAGTATTGTTGTTATCTTTTGATTTAAACACTTGCCATACATTGTATCCATTGCAATTGTTGCGCAATAAAGATTGATTGATTGATTGATCTATTGTACTTGTTGGCAGGGAGTTCCACTCTACAAGAGTTCTAGGAATTGTTTTTGAACACCTCAATCCTTGTAGATAACTGCGGTACTTGAAACTGAATTTCTGAGCTGGAATTAGATAATTAGTACTTGATAGGCATTTTCTACAGTCTGGACATTTTTCTTTTGCCTTGCAGTGACACCCACTGTCGGTTTGTTGTCATTTCCCTGACACTAGCACCCCTTTCATACTTGTTCAATGACAATTACATGTTGGGCAAAGATTTTAGACTCACAAAAAGATACAGAACGGGCAGAGGATAAAAGAGTTTGCACAAACTATTAGAATGAGGAAACAGTTTGCACAACCCCCTATGTCAGGTCTTTGGGTATCCTTGTCAGCTTGATCAATTACTTTAACTCCTATTGGTATTCAGCATAATGTGTACATGTTGATAGTACATCTGAGCAGAATGCACTGCGCCTACGCAAAACCACGGTTTCAGTTGGGTGTTTGGTCAACATTGCATCAGAATTTTGTGTGTTGCATAAGGCCACACCAATTTAATTTCTTGGTTAACAGATTTGCCTGCTTCATTTTTTTCTGATTTGCACACAAAAAAAATTCAGAATCAACTGCAAAATGCTCATATTTTGCCCTGAACAGTTGAAAACAGTCCTTTTCTTCCTAGTTGTTACAGTTATTCCATCTTTCAATGCAGTGGTATCATTAAAAGTTCCAAATTCAATTTTGAACCAGTGTTGGCTTCATGGCTCCTATTGTACCATTTTGGACCATAATAGGATGCCTAGACCTGTTTTTATTTATTTATTTTTTTCGCCCGCCTGCTCCATTATTTTTCTAGAAAAATCCATTAACCAAGAAATTAAATTGATGTGGCCTAAGATGTTTTTTCCAAAACAAGATTTGAAAAATACAGACGGGATGTCATTTGTCAGATATATTTGGAATTTATTTGTTTTCAAAGTATAACGTTGGATAACTGAAGACAATTTTACAAACCTTGTGTCAGTCTGCACCTGGTCAGAGAAAAAGGGAACTATTGATCATGACATGAGCCAAGTGTGGATGCCTCTGAGCTGAAAACACAACATTCTGCTGAATAATTGGGCCAGATCTCTAGACTTGTGCTGTAGAATTTACACTAGGGATGTACAGTTCCCATGGCATGTCCCCAACAAACTGGGGATTACTACACAAAACAGCCCTGTTAGGGATACTTAATGGCATGTACCTAAGTAAAACCTTACCATTTCTCCTTCACATAAACCGATAATACTCGTAAATAAAGAATCAAAGATCTTGTTACAATGTTTTTGTTAACGTATTGAATCATAACGATAATGCTGGTGTGTTACGCCGAAAGTCGGTTATACCCGCTATACAGATACAGACAGAATGCATGGAATTCATTTTTTTACCAATTACATGCTCCTATTTTCCCCTCAATCGTATATCATTTCTGGTCTTGCAATTATACCTCAGTGATGATGATTATCACCTAGGGATTATCTCGTTATTTTCCCCTCGATCATATATCATTTCTGGCCTTGCAATTATACCTCAGTGATGATGATTATCACCTAGGGATTATCTCGTTATTTTCCCCTCGATCATATATCATTTCTGGCCTTGCAATTATACCTCAGTGATGATAATTATCACTTAGGGATTATCTCGTTATTTTCCCTTCAATCGTATATCATTTCTGGCCTTGCAATTATACCTCAGTGATGATAATCACCTAGGGAGTAGCTAGTGTAAATAACAGAAATCCCACTGGTCAGAGGGTCTAGCAGTGTTTACTTAGAGAGAAAAAACATTATCAGCTGGGTTTCCTTTGGCTCCTCCTCATCTGGGTGGGCTGCAATGCCTGCTGGGATATGTTTACCTGTCAGCTGTCAGTGGTGCAGTCCTGTGCAGTCATGTGGAGATGGCGGGAGGGTGTGGATGTACCTGCAAACCCTTGTCTGGCTGATGTACTTAGTCATAACGTCTGGTGGTGATCAGTGTAGTGCCTCTAGGCTTGGTGCTGACTTACCGTTCTGACTGAGGGATTGAGAGAAACTGTTGCTGCAAGGGAGACCTGACTTGAGAGGAGCTAGGCTGAATATTTTGAATCCAGGCTGATGTGCTACAGCACACCACATGTACCCGCTTCTGCTTTTGCCTACCTGATGTACTAGTCATATATACGTCTGGTGGTGATCAGTAGGGTGCCTGGAGGCTTGCTTCTGACTGTGGGATTGAGAGAAACTGTTGCTGCAAGGGAGACTTGACTTGAGAGGAGCCAGGCTGAATATTTTGAATCCAGGCTGATGTGCTACAGCACACCACATGTACCCCGGCTTCTGCTTTTGCCTGCCTGATGTACTAGTCATATCATCGGTACAGTGCCTCTAGGCTTGCCTCTGACTGTGGGATTGAGAGAAACTGTTGCTACAAGGGAGACTTGACTTGAGAGGAGCCAGGCTGAATATTTTGAATCCAGGGCCATCGATGTGGCACAGCACACCACATGGTGCTAGTTATCCTGACTGCTAACACAGATAGACCGGCTCATGGTGCAATCGGGATGGAAAAATATGCGCTGCAGCTCCGGTAGCTCCACCCATTCCGGGGTTTTCCTCATCGTTGAGGGGTAAGAATTATCTTTATACGGACGTTATATGTGTCTTGCATTTGAGGCAGGGAATTTTATTCCCCTGCACGTTATGCTTTTGTTAGATATTGTCTGGCCTTGGCAATGACAGGCGGAATTATGGCATTATGCACATACCAGTAGCTTGAGATCACTGTCAAAATGTGCTGGAATTATGGGATAAATCTAGCTTTCCATAGAGACAGTTCTACTAGTACTACTGTGTTATGTAATCATCAAAATTCATGTTATGGTTTTGTTAGATATTGTCTGGCCATGGCAATGACAGGCGGAATTATGGCATTATGGAATTATGGCACATACCAGTAGCTTGAGATCACTGTCAAAATGTGCCGGAACTATGGGATAAATATCACTCTCCATAGCAATAGTAATAATAGTACTACACAGTACATCTGTGTTATATAATCATAAAAATATACATAGACATTTCGAGTCAGAAATATGCATAGAGTGTTTGTATCCTACCATTTTATGATTGTGCCTAAAATTTCCCCAAATTGACTTCAGTATTTTCAGTCCTACGTTTGCACATTCACTTAATATTTCAATTTGGAGATCATATCTGCTTATTGAAATAGAAATGGACAAATAGAAATAGATTTTTGAATAGATGTAGGATTTTCCAAGAGTAAAGTCAATCTCACCACAAAATTTAATTGAGTAGAATCTTTCTCATGCTTGTGAAACGTGAGTTAAGTTTTCTATTCAAGATTCTGTGAATTATCTGCTGTGACCTGTTTTGTGATGGGATTTTCGTGTAGGTACTAATGATGTGGTTCTTTATGCCGACCCAATTACATTAGATAGCCGTGATAAAATGACAAAATTCATCCCCGCAGCATGCCCATCCCTTAATTGACATCTTTTGGCATTAAGTAGATTCTGCACACAATTACACTTCTGGGGCAAGGCCATCTGATACTAGTTAAGATGGGTTTAGTACAGTGTTCTAGCCATCATTTGATGGAATTTTGACACTAGTGACTGACAAAAATTTTGCCCTTTCCATCATCTTTGACAGACAAAAATTGGCATTTGAAGATATGGAAAGAGATATCATTAACTAATCTACTAGTAAGCTTAATCTACAAAATTTGCCCCTCAAAATGCAGGAAATAGTGTTTCAGACTAAGAGGGTTAGATTTCAATATTTTTGCATGCAATACCCCCCCCCCCTGGATTGTCCTCTTGACATGTTGTTACATCAAACAAAACATTACACTAAGTGAAACGTTATGAGGAACAGTAAACCAAAAAGGGCAGAGAAAAACAGTTGTCAGATTATTTGTGGTGTCCCAACATAACAATCAAGTAATATTAGACTAAAAAGATTAATCATATGCAAAATATTGAGAAAATCAGCTATCACAACGTAAGGATAAATTTGTATCAATTCATATATTCTATATATCAGAGGTCTGGAAGAACGTTTCCTTGCTTGTAAATGAATTGACCCGGCATAAGTCTGTGAATACAAATATTAGTGCTGTAGGTTACATGTATATTCCTGTATTGAATATATTATTATTAAATTGCCCTTATAGCAGCCTGCCAGACTTCAGCTTGCCTTCTAGTTACATGTATATGCCCTGGAGAGTGCACAAACTAAGGTTATATAAGCCGGGTGTATATATGGGTGTCTTAGATGTTCAAATTCTAAGCTACGTTTATGAAAGCGGACAAAGGATCAAAGTATTATGTAACTGACGGGAGAAGACTATTTATAGTCAGACTCAGAGGTCCATTCCTGATGTAATACTAATACATCATCTTCAGTAACTGAGTTAAGCCCTTTGAAGATGCAATTCATAGGTACTGTATACTAGTAGATCTTTCTCTAATTTTATATAAACAGTAGATTCATGTGTGTCTATAGCTAGTCTACATGTGTGTTATTAGTCTATAGCCAATCTAAATTGTATGTTACAAGTCTATATCCAATCTACATGTGTGTTACTTGTCAATAGGCAGTCTACATGTGTTTTAAGTCTAGCAAATCTACATGTGTGTTATCAGTCTACAGCTGATCTACATGTGTGTTACTGGTCTATGCTCCCCAATCTACATGTGTGTTTCTAGTCTATAGCTATCTACATATATATTACTAGTCTATAGCCAATCTACATGTGTGTTACTTGTCAATAGGCAGTCTACATGTGTTTAGTCTATGGCCAATCTACATTTGTGTTTCTAGTGTATATTCCATCTACATTATTAGTACCAATACTAGTCTATAGCCAATCTACATTGTGTGTTTCTAGTCTATAGCAATGTGTATGTTACCTCTCCATAGCCAATGTTACTAGTGACTTGGCAAGCTGCCATCCTTGTGCTGCCATGCTTGGCTATCCCTGACTAACGTGACAAATGGAAAAGACAACACCAGGGGATGACCCTCCACACTCCACTGGCTACAGGGGCACAAGTCCCCAGGCTGAAAACAGCTGTGTTAACTGTCTGACAGAGATACCCTCTCGCCCAGAGTGCCATTCATGTTTGTTATTACTACCGTAAATGCATTTCCAAGTGATTATATGTCATAGTAAGAGGGAAAAGGAGTTTTTAACTTATGTGGTACAGTAGTCATACAAGGAAGGAATATATTCATGATGTCAAAAATTCGCAGTACAGGGCTCGAAATGCTGGATGCATATGCACCTTAGTTAGTGTACCCAAAATTTGAGCTGTGCACCCAAAATAATTTTTGTGCACCAAAGTTTTTAGGTGCACCTATTCCCAAAAACGAATTTCGAGCCCTACCGTAAATACATTTCCAAGTGATTATATCTCATGGTAGGAGGGAAAAGGAGTTTTTAACTTCTGTGGTACAGTAGTCATACAAGGAAGGAATAGACATTCATGATGTCAAAAATTCGCAGTACAGGGCTCGAAATACTGGGTGCATGTGCACCTTAGTGTACCCAAAATTTGAGCTGTGCACCCAAAAAAAATTTTTGTGCTCCTAAGTTTTTAGGTGCACCTATTCCCAAAAACGAATTTCGAGCCTTGCAGTAGAAAGGTCACGCAAACCGTGAAAAAATAAAACCACATGACTGTAATTTAGTGTAAAAGGTTTTCCATTGAAAATATATCTCTGACTTACACACGAAGGTGTTTTCAATGCTGCACTAAAACTACTGTAGGTGTTCAAAGTCAATTTACTGATCATTATTATATATAACCCTATCCCATAGCATACGTGTGAGGCAAAAATGTAATGACGGAAAACGGTTGCTTGTATCATAGTATAGGCTAGCAATTTATTAGTGGTAAAATCGGACTGACATAGCTTTTTTTAATGCTACAACTTAGTACAATTATGAAATGATAAGAAACTGCAGTAAATGTCAATATCAGACAGATTTCCTCATCCAGAATTATAATCATTTTACCACCTTAAAATTGCATTGGATGACTTGAACTGCAACAAAAGTTCTCACGGTTTGCTCTTGTAGAACAGGTTGGGTGAGTTCGTAGATTACATTCATCAGTAAATGTGCGTGTGTGTTCAAAGCACTCTGGCACTAGACATTCAACGTGACATTGAAAGGTCCTGAATGTGCCGGCATCTGTCTATACCCTTTTCAACAAAAGGCATTCATTAAAAATTGAAAAGTGTCTGTGCTGTACCCTGGGCAGTTTGGATTAGGATGTGTGTGTGTAAGAGGAGAGTCCCCTTGAACAGACAGGCTTTAGTTTGTTGAGGGTAAGTATTAGTCTGGGAAGCCAGTTCAGGTGTGTGATGACATGTATAGAGAAGCAGCTGTGCATTGAGCTGTAACTTAGCCCCATCCAAAATACACTCAAAGCCAACATTGAAAAACAGACAGCACTCAGAATATACAAACATTTAGCAGTACAGCATAGTGGCAACATATTTCTCTGAAGAAATTCCTAGATTTGAATCTTAATCTTTCCCAAGATCTGAGGTCTAGTGAGCCTGAATTTTTTTTCTGTCACCTCAATTTTGAGACCATGAGGTCCAGGGGCATGCTCGCAAGGAAAGGTTTAGAATTTTTGACCCTCTGAAACACTATTTCCTGCATTTTGCTGGTAGACAATACTTAGTTTAATGACGCTTCTTTTCATGTCTTACACGCTGATTTTGTGTCCGTTGAAAATGATGTATTTCGTAAAATTTTTGTCTGTCATGAGCGTCAAAATTCTGTCAAATGACGGAAAGACAGAACCTGGCTATAACACAGCTTCTTTCCAAAAGCAGACCCATACATTATCATAATTACATTGTATGAAGTAATAGGAAGGCAAAATAATGCATTTTTCTCAAATACCGTCACTTATAACATGGCATCTCAGAGCATGTACTTGCGTATCTGTAAAGATATGCCTCTGTTACTAGTGTTAGGCTGTATCCATGGCTTCACTTGCATCCATGTAGAACACAATTGGCACAAGTTCATGTTTTGGCAGCATATGAATCATTTACGCGTGCCAGTTTCAATGGGCTGTCTTCGTGCCTCTCGCGTAGACAATTACCGTATCAGAAAGCCGCGGGGATTTCACGTGGACGCAAAACGTGATGGAAATGAATAAGTCATGTTTTTTGTGAGTTGTGTAACTACAGGAAGCCAGCCAGCCATGGTTTGTAAGGTTGTCACCAAGCCTGGAATTTCAGCCAGGTTGTTTATGCTTGGTACACTGGCACAAGTGCAACATTTCTAAAGCCACAGATAAAGTGCTTATCTCTGCATTCCTTTTCCTTATGTAATATCTAGTCATGTGTGAAGGGTGACGCCACGCTTACTGTTTGATGTAATCATTGGTTAGGCATGGATCTGTGCTGGTATTTTTGTGTCCCTAACATTCACAGACAAGACCACCTTGCCGTTAGGATTGTTGACTCTGAAGGTTCTGGGTTCAAATCCCTGACAGGCCCCAGTGTTATGCCCTTGGGAAAGGCAACTATTTCCTCGCTTGCTCAACTCAGGTGAAAATGAGTACCTGGCTTTGGTTATGGGACATCAAGCAGAGGTTCTGTGTTTGAAGAGAGCCATACCTCAAGCAATATTATGATTGTTAAACTAAAGATCCCACGGTGCCATACTTAATGAAAAGAGCAGGGGCCTTCCCAGTGTGAGTGATTCAAACCTTACAGTCTGGTCTCTGGCTTGTCATCTTGAAAAGGTGATAGCCACTTGTTTTTATGTCAATCCTTCCTCAAATGTGGTAAATCTTGATAAATAAATTCAGTACAAGTTACCGTAACTATACTATTCCACTGCATTACAGTAACTATATAAGGAGGGTGCAATATATGGTGCATATGTAGTTACCAATCCTAGTTACTGTCAAATGTAAGACAAATACAACCATAAAGAACAAATGATAATATTATTGTTTAAAATGACGTTCATCATAAATGTGAGAAAATTTATGCGTCTGGTTCTAAATAAGAAGTGCTGTTTACCCAGTAACGGACGCCTGTGAACGCCCGTATTTTGTTGTGTTGTCATAACGATCAGTCATTTACGGATCACACTGCCGCGTCAACGGCTTTCATCCCGAAAGCCGAGAAGATTGGGATAATGAAGAGTTGGACAGATCCATCCTGGCAAGCACGACCTTGGCCATTATGAGACAAAAGGTCAAAGGGTACAGAGGGATTTCTGGCCTTATGGGGACAGACCTAGTGTCTGTCAGGTACAATGTACTGGTGTCGTTGAAGATGCTCTCAAGTTTGGACAGGAATCGGGAGACAGTATGGGCATGTACTGTGGGTTAGTAGTCGTGTTTTTGATGCCGTGTCTACATTGGTATGGGGAGACAAATGTCAGTGCCGCACCTGCATACACTGGGTGCCTGGGAAAATGTGTTACCTTTGTAAAGAAGGTTATGTTTTTGGTATTGTTTGTATGTGTCACTCTTTGTGGTTTAGCATGATAACTCAAGAAGCTTTGGGTAGATTGTCATGGAACTTGGTACGTTGTTGGGCCTTGACTTATTGCAGAAACAGTTAGATTTTGGACTCCCCGGAGGCTTTTCTTGGTACTGCAGCAGAACTTGTTGTTTCTGATATTCGGGTGTACTGGACATGCGAGGGTCATGATTTTTGTTACCAACCCTACAAAATGACTGATATACATAGGCGTTAGCCCAATGATATACACTTCAGGCATGAAAATTGTAAGTCATATTAATGCCTGATTGTTCTCCTGTTTTTCACAGACGGGGAATTTCGCGAGGAAGCCAGGTGATCTCACACCACCCTCTGCCGGAGAAGCCGGAGGATGACCTCCCAAACGACTACATCCGGACCGTCCACGAGGCAATACGGCAGTACAATGTCGCGCCGTCCGTCGAGAGTAGCAGCGGGAGGTCCTCGCCGACCATCGACCAGAGCATGTTTTCCGCGTCCAACGGTTGGACGACAGAAACAGGGTCGGAAAGCGTGTACTCCTTTGGCGAGGATGTAAGTATACTGTACTGAGTGTTCTTTGTATTTGAGCATTTGAAATCCAACCTGCATATATGCAGGTTAGTGCAGGTAAAATTGCAGCTGTGCGGGTATCTCTGACGTCTACCTGCACCTAACTTGCACTGGGTCATGTACTGGGTTTACATATACATGTAGGTGTATGTGAATTTTAAAGCATTGTGCTTTGACTGTCACCACCTATGATAAATAAGTAACAGCAATGGTTTCTGAACAGTTTTTAGTGTATGATCTGTAAGCTAAATTATGTCTTGTGCGGGTAATTTTCTGTGTTACATGTACCAGTGCAGCTATAAAGAAAAATATACAATTTTAAACCCTAGGTTGCCATCAGAAATGTGTACCTTTGATTCGTATGTTGGTGCTATTCAAAATACAGTACTGCCATTTTATATTATTAGCCCCTTTGCACACCTTTTGAAAAGTAATTCACACAAATGTCTACCCCTGCGTTGATTGATAGTCACTGATGCACACCTTTTTAGGAAGACACCTTTTGGAGCAGGCTCAGGGTCAGCGACCCCTGTGCATAATTTATAGCCTGGCCTTCTTCAGAAATGACTAAAGCTCTTAACGTTGGATGAAGATGCATCAATTGATCACAACTATACTGCACAACTCTAATGTCCTTTAGTCATTGTCGTAGCTTTATGCATGAGATGAGTTTACAATCTCAAAAAAAAGATTTGCTATTTTGTCTCCTTTGCATGTCTGTCACATTGTACACATTTTTCACTGCATCGTCACAAATCGGTTTTGAGTTTTGGTTGTCTTCAACAAAAGAGACAAAAATGCTTGTTGTACCTTGAGGTTAGAAACTGTGTGGACAAAATCACCACTATTGAGGTACACTGGTGATAGGGAGGTTTGTTTTATCTCAGTTGGAAAGATCAACAAGGACTAGTAAGTGTAATTACCAAGAAAGGTTTCATTTACTTTTGGTTAGTATGGCAGTTACTACAGTATTTGTAGGGAATATTGATAGTGATTACTTGAGCAATCATGAGGTTTCTACTTCATTTGGGGCTATTTTCTGCTCTTGTTCAACATAATTAGATCCTGTACATAGCAGATTTGCTTTTAAGTCAGTAAATGTATGTTGGACAAAGGAAATTACACATAATCTGTAGCTTTCAGTCGACTGGGAAATGCATTTGTTTCGGTCCAAAAAAAGAACTGCAAACATTTGCATGTAGTGGAATACAGTCTAAACTAGGCAAGAAGATCACTCAGGGGACCGATAAAATCTGGTCTATGTACATAAAGAGGTGGACAGGATTCTTCATGCTTGTGTCAATGGGGAAAATTATCTAAGGGACCATTAAAAAGTGCATGTAGTCACATTGTGCAGGTGGTCCTTATGTAGAGGTGGTCACTTCTACAGGTTTGATTGTAATGGACAAGAGAATTCAATTCGAATAACATGCCAGTTGTAAGAAATGAATTATACAATTCAGGAAAATACAACACAGTAAATTCTAAAAGTATATGCTGCAAATAAAAATCCATCTATATTTATGTGTGCATATATAAACCCAGTACATGGACCAGTGCAGGTTAGGTGTAGGTAGACATCAGAAATACCTACACAGCTCCAATTTTACCTGCACTAACCTGCATATACCCAGTACATGGACCAGTGCAGGTTAGGTGCAGGTAGACATCTAAAATACCCGCACAGCTCTAATTTTACCTGCACTCTAACCTGCAAACGCAAGTGGTATCTTAAGCCCATGATAGGAACGTGTGTGTTTATTTGTTTATATCTAAGCCCTAGCAACAGTGTGCAGGCTCAAAATACCCACTTGAAACCTGCAATTTGTAGAATTCTAGATTGTTACTTCAAAATAGGGTAAGGTATCAAACCAGAAAGACCATTCCCAAAACACCCAGAAAAGCAAGCATGTAACCGTGTAAGACCAACCAACATTGCGAGCTTTAGAAGATTGTAGTTACAACAATTCTAAACAGTATACACTGGTAACACTTACCAAGGAATCTATGGTATGGGGCAATCCTCTGCCAGCCAGTGTTCCACACAAATTTCCAGGGCAGATGTACATGTTGACTTGTCATGTATGTTTACCAAACACCACTGCGTTGTTGTCTGTAACCAGTAAATAGTTTGGGTGGGACTTACTTCAAATAAATTTCAGTCCCAACAAAATGAGGTCCAAGAAACTTTAAAATGCAATATTGATGGAACCGAAAAAAATTATCCTTATTTCATATGTATAGACATTTAACATCTGTGTCCATAAAATCACCAGGGTCCATAATATCGCCACCTTGAGAAATAGTGTGCTGAAAGATATTTTTACTACAACATACCCTAGGTATGTACATTTGATGTGTAAAGGAGTGCGTACCAAAAGTATGTTGCAGTAAAAATATCTTTAAGCACACTGTTTCTCAAGGTGGTGATATTATGGACCCTGGTGATATTATGGACACAGATGTTACATATATTTACACACAAATGACACACGCATGACTTCCGGTAGTAAATGCTTTTTAAGGACAAAACATTATGTCCACTAAACTTTAACATGTTTTTATGATGAATTTTAGTGTAACTGACAATTCGTATATGACTTAATATGTAAAGCTGTGGAGCCAAACTTTGTAACTATCAACAAAATTAAGACAGATACAAAATGTATGTCTACCAGTTGAATGGCAAAGATTCATTCATTTATTATCATGGAAGTTCATCTGTTTTTGTACATCATTGTCGCCTCCATCAGGATATGTGATGACCAATCACATCCAGACGTACACCATGAGAGTTACAAGCACGTAACCTAAGATTAAGTAAGAAGGCAACAGTGGTCATGTAAAATTTGATCCTTGTGTACCCTTGGATTGGAAAGGTTCAGCATTCATTTAGTGCTGTGTACCTAAACGCACATTTAGGTTCAGGTCCGGATTCAAGTCCAGAGGTTTAGGTTCAGTTCAGGACTCGTAAGTCCGGACCTAAACCCATGGCATACAAAATTGTTGGCAACCTTGCAATGTAACATGGAGGCTGACAATTGATGATGCCCGATGGCAATGTTTTCTTCATTTTGCGGCACAGATTTTGCAATCTATGGGTGGTTTTAGGTGGTTTGGAAAGAAAGGGGGGTATGTGACATGTTTTTGTTTTTTTTTGTAATTAGTCCAGACTCGATTCTTGACTTTTAGGTTTTTTTTAACTTGAACTTTTAGGTTTTTTCATTCATTTATTGCCCTCTGTGTTTCTGCAGGACTTTGACAAGCAGGCCTCTCAGAAGGTCCGGTACATGTTCAAGGAAATCGACGACATGTTGTACGAAGGGCGGCAGAAAGGGAACCAGCAGATCTATAACGAGTGCAAGGAGTGGGTCTCCATGTTTCCCCACCTCAGGTTAGAACTCTCTGCATCTAGATCATCTTTTTCCTTGTTGCACACAGGCCATTTCAATTCACCATCAGGGCTAGAAATTCATTTTTGGGAATAGGTGCACTGTTGCACCCAACCTAAAAAATTAAGTACACACAAATTTTTTGGGTGCACCATATGAAACAAAACCTTGTTACAGATCTTACTGCTCCTCTTCTGAGCTTGAATCTGAAATGGAGGATTCTTAAACAAGTACGAGATCTTAAACAAGTACTGCAACAATGATTTTATTATTTTTCTGACACTTAGATGCCAAGAATATCCTGTAAACTGTTGTACATTTCATATGTACAAAAGTACCTACAAAAATATTTGGGTGCACTGGTGCACCCACAGAAAAAAATGAGTGCACAGCTCCAATTTTGGGAGCACTAAGGTGCACATGCACACAGTATTTCTAGCCCTGACCATTAATCATAGCCAGCTGCTTTGATTCAATGTGAAACGTTGTTGACCATAGGAAATATTCTGTGAAGCATAATTGGTCAATTTAATTCCACGTAACAAGTTCTGAGAAAGGTGTCTGATAGTTACCTTGCTAACGTTTTGGTGTCTATCTTGGCTGTGTAACAGGAAACTCCTGGAACAACTTAATTTACCATTAAGTGTGCTAGTCCTCCTAGATTTACCGTAAATGTATTTCTGTCTACCAGAATATGTGGTGCTCAGCTGTTGGAGCCTCAGGACCAAGGCTTCCGGCACATCCCCAGCGAAGGCACGGCGCGTCCTTCTACAGGCACGGTCGTCACCGATGTGGCAGACATGGATGACCTGCAGGGGTGAGATTATTTACGTTTACCTCTACAGAATGAAAGCATATTGTTTTTGCTCTGTTTCTTCTTCTTCTCCAAGCAAATAAGGTCAATGACATGGACCAACTGGCTGCCACAGTGGTAACTGGTGCTGTAACAGACACCCTGTTGTGTTTTTTGGGTTACATTATGTAGCAAGTGGCAGGACAAAGATGCAGGGGCTGGTCACTGTATAATATTATAAATCAAATGTGTAAGAATGAGTAAGAATGAACAGAGTAGTATTTTGTTGGGATAGTCCATGTGAAGGTAAACATTATGCGTTTGCTTTGCAAATGTTACCTTTCTAGTTTGTTTATCTATTTTGCTTCACAAATTAAAAAACAAGAAATCTACAAAGAGCCCTCAACTACAGGAATGACCCTGCTCACAACCCTCACTAGAGAAGTTTTAAACTATGCATGCTCTGTAGCAGTTAGATGTGCAAAGGTTGGGTGTGATAGGTGGTTCAGTGTGATAGCTAGCTACCGCTGCGCCTACAAAGCTGGTGTGTTACACCCAAGGACGGTTATACCGCCTATACAGATACAAAAATAGATGCAGACATTAATTGGCTGCCATGGCTTTCTTTGCAATTTTTTGGATGAGCAGACCTCCCATAATAAATTCATGGTATCCATGGCAAGAGTAGAGGTGACTGCTATATAATAACAACAATTACCAGATGATAACACATATTCGGTTTGGTCCAGGCCCTTCATTTATTATTAATCACAAATGCAATGCCATGAAATTAGTGCCTGGGGGCAAGAGAACCATCAAAGAGACTTTGTAATTCTGTATCTTGGCAACCACCACAACAGTAATCATGGTGCAGTAAGGCCACACCAATTTAATTTCTTGGTTAACGGATTTTTCTAGAAAAATAATGGAGAGGGCGGGCGGAAAAAAAATAAAAATAAAAACAGGCCTAGGCATCCTATTATGGCCCAAAATAGTACGATAGGAGCCATGAAGTCAACACACCAGGCTGGTTCAAAATTTAAACAATGAATTTTGAACTTTTAATGATACCACTGCATTGAAAGATGGAATACTGTAACAACTAGGAAGAAAAGGACTGTTTTCAACTGTTCAGGGCAAAATATGAGCATTTTGCAGTTGATTCTGTAATTTTTTTTTTTGCAAATCAGAAAAAAATGAAGCGGGCGAATCCGTTAACAAAGAAATTAAATTGGTGTGGCCTAAGGAGCTTTTCTGAGCCCTATCGTAAAACATATTCTGTTTGCTCGTCATTCTTGTCAAGAGTCTGGCAAACATTTCAGTCAATTAAAATGGATTTCAAAATAGATGCAGAAGATTTACAGTGCTATACCACTACCAGTCAAGATTTTTCATCCGCTTTTGTTAATGAATTTTGTAAATATGAATGAATGAATGAATTAAAAAGAGTGAATTTCTAAGCTGACCATACAATTTTTTGCTCATAGAAGTAGCATTTTTCACAGCAGAATAAAGGTTTTAGATTTATTTTGGTACTTGGTCAGGGCTCGAAATACCATCTGCATATATGGATGTTAGTGGAGGTAATATTGGAGCTGTGCACATACATGTATTTCTGAGTGGTGCAGGTAAAGTTTTTCTGGTTCAGGTAATTTTCAATGCTGCCTGCACCAGTGCAGTTATGTAGCAAGTGGCAGGACAGAATGAGTAGGGATAGTTACCATATGTAAGAATGTGTTCATTGTGTTTAAATAATAATAATTAATATAGTAGTAGTTTGTTAGACTAGATTATGTGTGAAGGTATACCTATACACCAGTGGAAGTGTGCAGGAAAAGTATTTCAGCCCTAACTCGCCCATTTTCCCTCCCCCAGGATTGCTGTCCAGGGGACACACCTGGAGGTCCTGACGCCTCCTGAAGGCGCCCTGCGCAGTAACTCGCCAAACTCCCCGTTCTCCTATCTAGAAGAGGAAATATTTGAGTGTGACGGATACGTAGAAGAATATTTAGCCTACGATACAAGTAATAAACAAGTGTAAGTATGCATTCCTCCTCAAAGTTTATTATGGGTTCACCACACCACGAAGTGGTGTGGTGAAACCATATTGCTTTTTCTGATGTTTCTTCTCCTCCTCCTCCTCCTCCTCCTGCCATTTTTTAAATGGATTCAGCTTCTTCATTTTAGGGCCTAAGGTCCTGAAATTTGGTATGGAGGTACAGTGGGCAAATACCCCTAGGCGTTTTTTAAATGTTTGTGATACAGGCTTTTAGAATGGTTTTATTTGAGTTTTTTGGCTGTATTATAGCTAATGTATTACTGTGTTAGTGTGCCATGTTTACCACGTCTGGGCATGAGTCATCACAATGGAATGCAGGGCATCAACCAATAGGCATGCAGCTTTCCTCTATACTTCTTGCTGATTGGCTGTTGGAATTTAACTTGATTAACACCTGCACACTGAGCATTTCCATACTGACAGTATGTCTTTATTCAAGTGTTTTGGTAGGTATTTCAAGCTTTTCTGCTCCAGCATTGGAATGCGGGGCATGTAACGTTTTTTTTTTTATTTTGAAAATCAACAGTTTGCATTATGCAATTAAAAATCCTAACCAATAAAGTAGGGAATAGCTATCCAACTGTTGTTTTAGTTGTATGTTACTTCATATTATAGTTATATCAATGTAAATCATTGTTTTCCCTTGTGTTTCTCATTCTTTCCCTGCCATGTGGTAAAATGTGGTGAACCCATTGCTGTATTTGCTCCAAAGCAAATATTGGCCTTTCTAGTTCTTAAATGAATTTTGATGTTTTTTGTTGTAGATGTAGCACATACGACTCTTACGAGTGATTGCTATTTTTGTTTACATCATGTACATGCAAATTATTTGAAGGCATATGCAAATTATTGGTACGCAAATCACCCAGCTGTTTAACATTTTGCCTATCACTTGCTGGCCATGATGTCATAGCGATTGCTCATATAGGGAAAGCTATTGTGACTTGCTGTGACCTTGTAGCTGATTTCAATCTCATTTAGACTTGTCGTAACTAAAATCTTTCTCTTGTCACAGAGATGAGGATACTAGGACAGATTATAAACTACGTTACACGCTAAGTCGGAGAAAAAGACTAGGTCTCCCGCCGATCACGCCAAACGCGTCATTCCGGGACAACCTGGGAGCAGAGATCTTCGCCATGATCTGGTCAGAGGTCAACTCGTGGATCAGACAGTCCTTAAAGATTCAAGTGGAGCAAGCGCTGCAGGGTGAGCATTTGAACAGAAGCCTACAAACCTATGAAAATGAGTTTTCTTTTACACAACTAGTAATGTGTCTCACCTGCTTATGTTTTGATGCCTATCAGGCACTTTCCTCTGAGAACTTTAAGGATACAAACGAAGGGGGATACAAACTTAGCCATGTTTGGGATTGTGTTCTCGCTGTAAAAGCGCCCCCTACATCAGGTACAAATAGCGGCAAGAAGCAGTACTCCAGTCAGATGCTCTGATAAAGATATACTGACAGTACTGCTCGTGTAAAAGAAAACCCCAATATCCTATGATTTTTTCCAATAACCTGATGAATATTATTTGGGGCCTATAACCCAATAGTATCATGTGGTGTAATAGTGTTTGACCTGTGTTCGAATCCACTGACATGCCCCAATGTTGTGTCCTTGGGAAAGGCACTTACACAACACAAGTCAGGTACCCATTTTACACCTGAGTGGAGTGACTGAGGAAAGTCGTGTAAAGTGCCATTCTCAAGGACACAACGTCTTGCCAGGAATGGAACGCACGACCTCTCGGTCTTGTGTCCGCTAGTCTCACCGCTCGGCCATTCAATGCCACAATAGATTGCACAATTGCTTATCGTTAATGTAAGTACATTCCGAAGGTTACAGCTTTTTGTTAGCGCCTGTGTGTAAAGAGTTGCTGATGTGTGTGTCCTTATTACAGAGGAGGCAGACAAACAGCTGGCAGAGATGGACTTTGACGACGTGGAGTCTCCCCTCCCCCTGCGCGAGCTGCCGCCGCCTTCTCGGGAAGGCTTCAGCGGCTTCAGGCCTTCCATGGTTGGTTCATATGACCTTCTGTAGTATAGCTTCATGAACATGTCAGCAGAACGTACTGTACCTGTGCAATATGCAGAGTGGAATGTGCTTAAGCACCTTTCCCGAACACATTGTTTATGTGTTTGCATATTTAAAGATGATATCCTGTAGTTTTCAATACACCATGTTGCATTCTATTATTCAGTGTCCTAGCCAGCGTTCATCTTTCTGTCAGTGGACACAATTTTGCCGCCAATGACAGACAAAAATCTTTGATCGCCAAAATCAGGGCGTCATGATTTTGAAAGAGGTGTCATTAAATTAAGCTTAGTCTACCCACAAAATTTGCCACTCAATATGCAGGAAATACATGTAGCATTTCAGAGGGTCAAGATTTCAACATTTTCCAGGGGAGCATGCCCCCTTCTACGATTGTCACACCTTCAGCACCCAATATGATGTTATATCAAGCAAAACTTAGATGACAGAAAAAAATTTCAGGCTTGCTAGAGCACTGCCGTGTTGTATTCTATATTTACAACATGATGTCCTTCCTCGGTCCTGTGCTTACTGTTTGTTTGTTTGTTTGTTTGTTTGTTTGTTTGTTTGTTTGTTTGTTTGTTTGACCGTGTTGTGTTTGTCCCTCCGCAGGGCCGTTATCCCAGCACCTTGGCCGCATCATCTCCCTTCATGGACTACACGGCACTGAACGGAGTCATGACCATCACCACCAAACCTATCCTGGAGAGGGCTAACACTTCCTTCCAGTAAGTTTACACCATACACCTTGATCTTCCACAACAGGAGGCAGTGGTATTGCATGGTAAAAGAAGTGAGGAAAGGGTTTCAAGGGTTCAGGTTTAAGGTCACATTTCTCAGAAAAGTGTAATAAGTGAAGTGTTGGGGCGAAGATTGATTTTGAACCTGGGGCTTACTTCTGGGTATTCTTCTGCATTGTGACCTTTGATGCATTCTGTTGGCGGTGTTGTGAGTTATTGTGAAAATGTAAATGTTTTCTTTATGATTTTCTTGATTATACACAACCCGAGTCTTTCCAACAACATCAGTCATTTTGGTGTCTACTTGGGTTTAATTCCATGTCAAAATGCCTGATTTTCCACATTATTTTTCATTGGAAATCCCATTTTCCCTACATTTTACTAAAATTCAAAAGGTTAAAGAAAGAGAAATACTGTTGTTCCTGTAGCTAGAAGGATAATCATTCCCACTCACCCATCTCCACAGGGAGCGTAGCGATGACTCGCCTGTACGCGCCGGTTCCTCCATGATGATGGCGAGCGGGATACGGGGCCGGCCGCCCAGTATGAGATACCGGCAGCCCTCGGCGCGGGGTCGGGTGGCGAGACTGGCGCCCATCCCTAACTACGACAGGTCGCGAACCCCAGCATTAGACGCAGATGTGGGCATCAGGGGAACACGACTGTAAGTACCCTACTGGTTCTATAACATTACATACTAGTCAGCATTCACTGTCCGATTTGAGTATCTATATTGTCCATTTTAGGGCAAAAATAACAAAGTTCTGGGGGGAGGCAAACTGTTTGGAAGAGCCAACTCGTTATATCGTTATGCATTTCTGCTAAATATTTACACCATTTTAAAGGCAGCATTTTTTACAAATGTGTCTATTGAAGATGAACACTTAAAAGAAACGGAGGGAAATATTCTGCATTAGCTGAGAGCAGATGCAGTGTTTGTGACAGTTTTCTGACAGCAGCTGTCGGTCTCTGTTTCAGACAACCGGACAGCCGGCTGTCGTCCCCGCCACAGGTGATGTCTCCCCAGCTGACGAGCCCCAGCTACAGACACCTGGTCCACAAGCACCTGCCACCGCTCTCCCACATGCAGGAGGCATTCGAGAGCAGCTCCCCCCATGGATCTGCCAAGGTCAGGGCTGTTCAGGACTCGAAATATGAGTGTATAGGCACCATAGTGCACTATAATTGGGACTGTGCAGGTATTTCTGATGTGGTCTGCACTGGTCTATGTACTGAGTATATGCAGGTTAGACAATGCAGGTAAAATTGGGACTGTGCAGGTATTTCTGATGTCTACTTGCACCTAACCTGCACTGGTCCATGTACTGGGTATATGCAGGTTAGTGCAGGTAAAGTTTGGACTGTGCGGGTATTTCTGATGTCTACCTGCACCTAACCTGCACTGGTCCATGTATGACTGTGCAGGTATTTCTGATGTCTACCTGCACCTAACCTGCACTGGTCCATGTATGACTGTGCAGGTATTTCTGATGACTACCTGCACCTAACCTGCACTGGTCCATGTATATACATGTAGGTCTATGATTGTGGACTTTTCTTTTCATTGACTGTTACCACCTATGAAGTATAAAATAGATAATGACAATGTTTTCTGAATAGTTGTCGTTAGAAGTTAGAATAGAAATTTGTTTGTGAACAAATCTGTTCAATGAATTCATCTGCAGACATATATGAAGACAAAGCAACAGAGGTAGAGTGCCTCCTGTTGGATCTTCTTGGTACTGCAGCCAAGATTACTTGTGAAGAATGCCAGCAACTCATGCAGAGAAGGCTAGATTTTAACATCTTTTACATTACAGGGGAAGAAGGGTCTGGGATCCCGAGCATCCAGCGCCGTGATAGATGAAAACGGGAGAAGAACATCCAAAATTATCCAGTTCAGCCCAGAATCTCGACCCAACACCACACACACATTCAGGGTGAGCAATCAAACAGGCTATGAGAAAAGTAGCCCTAGGACCAGGAGCTCAAAGGATGGTTGTATCTTTTTATACTGGTCTATAATATTGTACTATTTAGTAATTTAGCAAGCATTAAGCAACCTGTCCCCTTAACCTCAGTCCCCTGTTTGGTCTCCTTAACTGTACTACTTCACTTTGAAATAATCTAAGGGGAAAGGCACATTTTTCATCTGCTTCATTTGGTGTTTGATCAAGATATAGAATCTATCAGGATCAGGGCCTAACTGAGGGTGTCTGTGGTATGATTTCCTTGGGGGCATGTTGGCCGTAGTGCCAAGGAACTGGCCTATGTAGTCCCTGGAAGCACCAAGGCGTAATCTACATGTGTAGGATAGAACTGGGAACAGATCATAATACTCTACCACAGTCATGACATGATGTGCTTCCTAACATTTTCCTTGTTTGCTTACAGGCGGACACCCCTTTTGGCCTTCGGCGCTCTTCTACCCCAATGGGTACCAATAGTAACTTCAGAACCAGTGGGTCAGCTTTAGGTGAGTAACCTCAACACTCTGTACTGTATGATCAGAGGTAAATACCCGATTGCATTTCATCACTCAACGGATTACTACTCATACAATTGTTTGAAGTAACCTCCTCCCACGATTACACCATCAGTCAAATTTTTTACATCACACATTCTTCGCCAAGCCATAGCCCAAAAGCACACTGAGTTCCAGATCCCATCACTCCAGTGAAACTCAAATGACACAATTTCCCAGGTTCCTGTGCAGACTCGACACAAACACACAAACTATCAATTAACCTGACCAAAAACAATACTTCTGTCCCGGATGTAACTACTAAATGCATGAAATAGCCAGTCTCATAATGTTGTCCCTGTTATGCCACAGGAAACCCAGTCATCCCGGGAGTGGTGGGTTACGGCATCACAAGCTCCGCCTCCCAGATGGACCCACATGTCAATCATCCCGTGGAGATGGAGGATGAGGAAGAGTGGGGCAACAGTGAGAACTTCCAGATCCCCAGGACCTCCTCCTGGGGTGAGTGGTTTTACGTTTAATGCCCATGATCATTATATTGATCATTCTGGCATACTCATTTTCACCTAAGGGAAGTGAGGAAAGTCATGTTAAGTACCTTTCATGAGGGCACAAGATCAGTGATGTCATGGCAATATTCGAACCTGGGATCACTTGGTTCCGAGCCGAATGCTCTGCCGTTACACCACACAACCACACATAAAAGTGGACTGGTCTTTTGAGAATAGTTTCATCAGGGTTGTTGGAAGGTCCTGACTGTGTGAGGGTCTTAACCATCACATAGTGTGCCAAAAACAGTTACTCAAGCAACTGGATATGACTTTGGAAACGGTCAGACATTTCAGGTAGCATCCACTACCTTTCGTCAGTGACACATAGTGTTTTAGCCAGCCTTTTTTTCTTGTCATTTCCATGTTGTTTGGTATGAAATCATGTTTTGATATCCTGACCCTCTGAAATGCTGTTTCCTACATTTTGAGGGGCAAATTTTACTGGTAGGCTAAGGTTAGTTGGATAACATCTCTTTACACACCAATTTTTATCCTTCAAAGATGGAAAATGGGTAAAAAAAAATTTGTCCTTCATGAGTGGCAAAATTTTTGCCCATCATAAGTAGCAAAATCTGTCAAATGACAGAAAAAAAGACTATTAATACATCAGGCTGCTAAAGAAAAGTCACTTTTTAAAACTTTTTTTTTTCCTTCCACACAGGTCACTCAGGGTTGAACCCAAGTAACAACCCGTATGCGCGCGGGCGGGGGAAGCTGGGCAGCCTGGTTAGATAACCTCCGTGGTGCCACTTCAACTCACCCTTCTTCTCACTGTCAAGTGCCAAGTCCCATATCATAGCAATACAGACTGTGTACTGCCATTTTCAGCAGGGGCAACATGGGGGTCACCAGTACACCATGCACTATGGTCCAGTTACTTTGTACCCCCTACAACATCCCACATACCATATTATGTTGCCCATTCATTTGGCTTATGTTAGATGTATCTTTCTTAGCCTTTTATAGCATTTGGCAGGAACAGAACTTTTCCATTTCATTGATTCATCGTTTTAAGTTTTCTATTATTCCAGGATGATCTATCTTCTTATAAGTAAAGTTCTTTCTGTCCTTTACCTTGTTGGTTTCTAGGTTTCCCTTGTTACTTGCAGCACATTGGTAAAATGTATTGCACCTGTGCGAAACCCGTAATGTATTGTGCATAGCACTTTTGCAGAACATCTCGTTTAAGGTTGTATTCACTTATTTAAGGATGATATTCCATCTATAGTTTACAAATATTGTGTGGAAAAAGACATTGTCCACAACAAAAAATTCTGATGTAATGTTGACCAAATATCCAACAAAAACCTTGAAAAATCTGGGTTTCGTGCATGCGCAGTACATTCTGCCGAGGTGCCGTTGCTTGCCCTCTTGAGTGGTTGTTAGTGCATGTAGTGGTGTGCTTCGGGAATGCATCAGAACCGTCAGTTACAAACGGTTCCTGCTGACTTACGGGTATCCTCCAACTGCCACTAGAACTGGACAAGGTCTCGTAGCATCTGTCTCATGTCTTTACAATCCACTGGCAGCTATCCTCAGTTCCTGCGATTCAAAAAGTGCACACAAAACACACTGTGCACTTGTTGTAGTGGATTAGTAAACAAGTATTAATCACTAGACTGGATATGTCTATCTTGCTGTAGATATCTTTAACATCTAAACACTGGTATTTTTTTTTACACATCCAAGAGCTTACTGAGTTAAAAACAGCATGGCAAAAAAACAGTTACATTACAAAAAGCCACTTAACAATCAAAAGTTTCCAACTTGCAAAACGCAGGAAAGCAAAAAGAACTGCAGACAGTAACACAAAATACCTCTTATAACTTTGGGGAAGGACAAATTTTGTTTTTTGTCCTCCTGTCTTCTGTTAACCTGTTACGTGCAGGTTATATACTAGTACTTCATGTGTACTTAGTTATGTCTTAGTGGTGCTTTTTTTTTTTGACGTTGGACATTTCAATCTTGTCTATAGGCATGTCTTGTAAGCTGTTGTCTTGTTGAAGTTGAACCTGTACAGATGTAACATAGACGGTATCAGCCATTTTAGTGGCTGAACACAGTATGATTGTAAAGTATCGCTTTAAGATACCTAAGTGTATACAATTATTTGTACATAGCTGTGATTATATATATATTATACATATACTCTGCCTTGGTGATATGTCAGGCAGAACCTTGCGACATGTATGTGAAAGAAAAAAAAATATCTTAAAACTCCTAACATTACATTTTGTGTACTATATAGTATATAAATTTTCGAAAATGTTGTGGTTGATAACTCAGGAAAGCAGGTGCGAGAATGAACTCCCCAAATTTTCATAGATGATTATTAATAATCTTTCTTGTCAACAAAGGCTCCTGCCTTGATGTAGTTCATTCTTCAGTCTGCTTCTGTGATTTTCTCTTACCCAATGTGCAAGTCAGCAAATCCTGAAACCGTGCAATTTTAACATTTTATTGCTGATCTGTCAGTGGTCGATGGTTTGTCTTTCAAAAACAGTCGTGAAAACTTGTAAAACAACAAATTCTACATGTCCTTCCATACAAACATCCAGTACCTATCCCCTAGATAACGAGTTATAGTTTGCCCAACAACACTGTCTTCTAAAAGTTCGGAACATAAGTTTTTCCAGAAAAAATTGGCCATTTTTGTGATTGACTTGTATACCTAAAAATTTTCTTATCTACTAATTTCGTCTTCTTTTTCTGAATGTCAAAAAATGAATGTATGGAAATAAAAAGTACCATAAAATGGTAAATTTACCAACTTTAAGCATGTCCATTCTTAAATCTTCTCAAATCTGAAATAAATACCAACTTTGGTTGGTATCCTACAGGTTTGAACTTGTTGGTTGTAGTGATACCTTACATGCTTCAAGCCCTCAGATATTTATGTGACTACTTACCATGTGTATAGAGTATTTTCTTACTGCTAGATTTGGAATTAAAACTTATATCCAGATGCAAATGGTGGTGTTTTGTGGTCATTCCTTTTCCACAGTACTTTATGCTCTTTTCAACATAATTTTTCATAGATAGGCATTTATAAGAGCCCCCAAAACAAGCTTCTTGAGGACCTTTGAGCATTTGTGGTTAATTCATTTCCAAGAATATAAGTTTAGGTGTGAAATCCGAGAACAAGTGATTAAATTGTTGTAGCCTTACGTATACTACGTTCTTTCTTTCTTTTTCTTTCTTTCTTTATTTACACATATATTAAAGAATTCATAATCAAATAATAACATTCAAAGAATATGCGGGGTAGGCGAGAAACCTGGGTGGTTTTTCAAAGGGCCTACCCCAAACAAAGGTAACTTAAGACAAAACATATTTGAATTAAACATCAAAATTAAACAATGAAATAATTGATTAATTAATTAAACAAAATCAAGACACAGAAATAATAACTGGAGTGTGTAAACTCATTTGCATCTACGAAAAGAAATGTAAACAAAAGTCTTATACATGTAATTCAGTGTATATATATATATATCAGTCTTATACATGTAATACGTGATTTCAGTAGTTCCCATTGTTGTGAACGGTAGGCCAATGCCATTTGTCGAACCACGACTGTTCTTCCAGCATTGGTCCTGTCCATTGGTGTTAGCCTTGGTGCTGAAAAGATATCAGTCGCATGATTTGAGCTCAAACACAGGCGTCACCCCTTTTTGCGCCACTGAAATATGCTGAAATGATCAGAAAATGTTTTGTGATACAGACATAAGGTCATACTAGAATGGTCTCGGATCCAAGGCATATCGTACTGCATTAATTTTGGGAGTCATCCTTTGGGATGTGACCTATTTACGTCTATAGCCTTGAAATAGCCGCCTCACTTCGCGCAATGATACAAAAGAATAGCATAACTCAATCATGCCTGTACAGAAAAGTATTTACTTTTTCGTCTCAGTAAAAATATATATTCGTGATGTTTAAAACTTTCTTTATCTTGAAGGTATGTAAGGAATTCGGTATAATCGCTACGGGACTACATTCTCGCGGAGGGACAGATGTGTGTGATTTTTTTTTTTTTTTTTTTTATTTGCAAATTCAACAAGGACAATACAAGACAAGGTGGTGAGGTACTCTAGCTGTAGCTAATTTTAGCCTCACCACCAAACATAGAATACAATTACAATACATAACAAAAAACAGAGAACAGCAAGTGGGTGGGATGGGTCGTTAAATAGTACAAAGAAATGTTTAGTAGGCTATATAATAAATCAATCGAGTACAAACCGTTTGGTGTCAACAATATAAGTTTGAGTGGTTAGCAAGATATTACAGTTTGTATCATAGTATAAATCAGGTAATCCTCTAAGTAAAATATCACATAACAATTGTTCAGACATATTGAAAACATCAAAATCAAAGCCTACCACATTCTGGAGATTGCTGAGTAGGGTGACTCTTTGTTGATTATATAAAGGGCAGTGTAAAAGAAAATGTATGACACTCTCACAACGAGACCCGCAGATACAAGCAGCACTAGGGGCTAAATTTCTTAAGAATAAGCTGTGGTTAAGACTACAGGTCCCGATGCGGAGACGCGTGAGTAATGCGCAGGTGTACCTGGGGCCGATGCTAAAATGTCGGTAAAAAGGGGAACGTACTGACTTTACTAAGTACTTCTTATACAATGAAAGATTCAGAGATCGAACAGCTACATCAAGACCATTCCAGTGATGCGTAGCATATGGAATGAAAGACTTTTTATATCTAGTTGTAAGACAAAGCGGTAGCCGTAAATTAGATTTATTACGAAGATCATACGAAGTCGAAAAAGAAACTTCGGGAAAGATCAGGTCCCTGTGTGATGAGGTTACAAAACATGGCGGAGGATGGGCACTCGGATTGGGTCAGACTGAATGTCGGAGGGACGATGTTTGAGACGACCCGCACCACTCTGGCTCGTCTGAAGAGCCAGTTCCTTGACAGACTCCTTGCGGAAGACTCTGGCTTCCCCAGGCCGGCTGACGGTGTCTACAAGATCGACAGAGACCCCGAGGTGTTCAGGGTTCTACTTAATTTTGGCAGGTAAACATTATAGGGTGTGGGGGCTCGGTACCTAGAGAGACTTTTTGACTCTGAACTTTTTGACTCTGAACTGAACCACGCGACAACGAGCACCAAGTGACCACGTCTAGCGATATATTGGACATTAAACAAGGACAACAACAACAACAACAATAGGGTTAGGTCATGATATAAAGGGACGTACGGACCGAAAGACATGTCAGGTCTATCATGTGGAATAAAAGGCGCATTTTGTAACATTTTTGCATCAAAAATTAAATTATTTTAATATCTGCCAAAAAACAGTTACTCAAGCAACTGGATATGATTTTGAAAACGTCATTTGACGTTTCAGCTAGTATCCACTAGCTTTCGTCAGTGACTGAGAGACCAGAGGGGAAAGCAGGTTTATATACACAACCTGTTGATTGATATGCAAATAAAGTGAAGACAAATTTTTGGAAGTCGAAAAAGGAACAAAAGTCAGACAAGTCAAGACAAGATGATGCAAATTAGTCTGAAAGCTCCTGTATTACAGGACAGGAGCTTAAGTGTTGTCTGTCCTCGGGGCTGGGAGTGCCAAATATCAAGTGCCGGAAAGATCGACCCGTAGCCCCCCTTCCCTGTTGAGGGTGGGGTTGTACATTCTTTCATATATTGCCTCTTTAAAAGGCATGTTTTAAAATGACGTTTTCAAAATCATATCCAGTTGCTTGAGTAACTGTTTTTTGGCATATCGTATTACCTGGATGTCTAACCTTCATCGACGTATTTTAATATCTATTGAGAAAAAACTACCCGCAAGTCACCAAGGCCAAGACAATACATTGTAACGTTACATGTATATTAGATACTGTAGGCTTGAAATGATATTTAAGGAGAACCTTATTTCTACGCTTGCCTTCCGTGTTTCAGAGAGTCATGTTAATCAGAGAGAAATAACATTACACACAAGCATTATAAATGTGTATCCAGGAATAATTCCACTGTGAGCCTTGAAGAGGGTGACAGATGGTCACCAAAACATATGCTGAAAAACCCACTGGTAATTGAATTTAAAAAAGCTAATGTAACGTTACATATAAATTTGTCCTTAACACAATAGAGGATGCCAATATTTTGTCACTTCCTTGGGGATGACATGTCATTGCTATGGTCAGTTGTCTTGATAACATATTGTTTTTGCTCTTTTTCCTCTTCCGTTCCAAACACCAAAGGTCAATGACCAGAACGAGATGTCTATCACCATGGTAACTTGTGTTGGGTTACATCATGTTGCAATTTTGTAGCAGGAGGGACTTAGACTCCTGATACATACATACAAATGTTTTTGAGTAAGAATTAACAGAGCAGAGCATATGCAAAGGTAAACATTATGTATTTGCTTTGCAAATGTTACATTTCTAGTTGTTTTGTTGTGTTGTGTTTCATACCGGTGCTTAGGCACGGAAAACTTCTGCTGAACTCTCACGTGACGGCGGCCATGTTGGAAGCGGACGCCGACTTCTACATCCTGGGACAGCAGCTTCGCCTGGCGATAGACGCACTCTCGGAGGACCCCAATGCCGACAGCGCACAGAAGTACTTTGAAGCTAAAAAGGCCATGCGGAGAAGCAACCACCCTCAGGCATCCTCACCTCTCAAACAATAGTGATATGCCAAATGTTGAATCGACTAAGATGGTATATCCACCGCCAAAGAAGACAGTGGCAAATGGCCTAGGAAGATCCTCACAATGGATGTGGAAGGCCCAAACCCTCGTGGTCGACCAAAGAAGAAATGGTTTGACAATGTAAGGGAGGACTTCCATCAACCCACAGGATAGAGGCAAGTGGCAGGCTGCCATCAAGCCTCAGTACTTCTGTGCAAGATTGTCTAACCCTCCGAAGTCGGGGAGCGCTAGACAATAAACCGGAAAGTGAGTGAACTGAATTAAAAAGTGCAAACAAGTTTGAGTCAGGGATTCGACATGAAAATTATCTTTTATCTTTTTTATCTTTCACAGCTATGTGACAGAAAATAAAGTTTCCCACCAATGACCATGGATTTTTGTGTGGTGTTTTTTTTTGTGTGTGTGTTCACTTGAATGGATAAGAGTAATAGATATAGACAGGAGTACACCTGCCTTTAATGCAGGGGAATAGAATATAACGTACATGTATTACTATCTAGTAATCACGACTTGACATTGCGTACAAAACAGTCTACAAATGCCTAATACGCCATCGAAAATATTTCAGCCGAGTAAGAAACAGTTAAAATGGTGTGAAGAAGGTCCTTTTTTCGTAGTTTCTTGGATGCAAACGGCAGAACGGTGTGCATTCAGCTGCTCGTTAAAGTTGTTCTGGGACTGTATGTCTCCAAATGAAAAAATTCAAAAGTAAAACGGTTCTTTTCTGATAACTTCCTGGTATCTAGGTAGTCGGGGCGAGCCTCAATGTCAAGAACAAGAGCAGGAAAAACCTGGAGTAAAAAACCCATAAGAGCCCATCGCGTTTCCTAACTCGCGAAATGGCCAAATCTGGGAAGATACGGCCCTTTTCGGAACGGGTGCTCCAAAACGGGGGTGTGATAGGGGATAAATTTTCGCTTTTTCAATTTTAGAAAAATGAAACTTTTGACATTTTCCTGCCTCCCTCTTTTCAGAGTATACTCCTTACCGCCTCTACTCCATTCCTACTTAATACCGTCCATCAAATTTGCTTTATTCTCGAGTTCTGTGGTAAAACGTGATTTTGCGATCAGCTGATCGCTTGCAGAACTGGTAAAATCCTTCGCAGAAGCAAAATTTTCGTTGTCGATCTCATTACCATATGAATGAAAACCAAGCAGATGGTGGGGATGAAAATCGTAACTTGTTGGGGTATGGGGGTATACCGGCTGGTTGAAGACTTTATCCATAGTAAACAAACAGATAAAACGACTTGCATATATTAGCTATCAGTCACATATTTTTAAAAACATAGACAGATTATGACAATAGTGCGCCTTTTTTCAATGTTATAATCCTTGCAATCATCTTTTTGATTCTGCCAAAGATCGAACAGAGTGGAAGAAACCAGCTGTCCAATGTGCTACGCACGGGAGGAACTAAGTAAGTAAGTTATTATCGTTTTCATGTCGTTATTCTCTTAAGGAGGCTGTTGTGGCCGTCTTGTGGCGATTCCAAACTCCGCAACTTCCTAGAAAGTCGCCCCGGGAGGGCACGTTTTCAGACACACACTACCTCCGACCTAGCGTCTAACTGTATAATCGCTAGTTGTATTATCATGTTTCCGGAAGATGGGGGCATATGTACTATGCTTAAGTTACGATTTTCCTTCCCACCATCTGCTTGGTTTTTATTCATATGGTAATAGAATAAGTTGTCGAAAATGCCTCCGTACGAACGGCACCTTCCTTGCATACCGAAATAAGTTTTGCAGCACCGATTAATGTTCCTAGATGGCGCTGTGAGACCGCCTTATGAACGGGCGAGCGTTGGATGAAAGTATTAGTCAGACTTTCGGAATTAATATTCGGATAAATATTCCTAACACCAGTTTCTTCCAGTCGTGACCGTTACAAGTTGTTTACTTTTTTTCATTCAATGAAACTGGAGAAAACCGGAGATGCAACGACAAAGAGAATCATAGAGAACACTTTCATGGCGAAACCTGTAGATTTATGGAGAAAAACCTGGACACTCGTGGAGCAAAAATGTACGATAAATTTCTTCTTCAATTCAAAACAGGATGCCATAGTGTTTTCTCTTTGCTGACATAATCCTTTACTTCTAGCCGCCAACAATGCAGCGCAAACAACTAAGACCCTTCACGGCACCTGAGATCGTATGTCAGGTCCACTAAAGGATTATAATTACATTTTTGTAGTAGGTCATATCTAGTGTCAGACAGAAGCTCGGATCCTAATCCTAAACTACCCTACTCTTTTGTTCTATTTTTATCCCAGCGCACCCAACCTACTTTCCAATGCGTAGATCTACGTATTTGAGACGTGTTTTTGACGATTTATGGGGCTTTCTTTCTTGTACTGGTATCTTTTTTTACGCTTCGGGTGGCAAGTGGTAACTACCTGGCGAATGGATACTGTCTTGACAATTTGATACTGTCTTTACTACAGCCACCAAAATATCTGCTTGGAGATTCAGCGCCCAACCTACTAACGGTAAACATTTGCGGGATGACGTATGTTTGCTTGCTTTGTGGGGGAAGTGGATGACCAAAGTACAGGCCGCCTCTGACTCACGTACGGTGAACAGGTGAACAGGAGGCCCCATTCAGACACACGCAACTTGCCCCCTGAAAGACGCCAGAAGACATTTTAGAGTCTTACGTCGATCCAAGAAAACCGTGACCACCATGAACGCCGTTCTAATCATCCTTGTAGTGTTCACAAGCCATCTAACGGTCACAGGTAGGGTGTACTTTCCTTACAACAGCTGTTATAAAAGATATTCCGCCATTTTGTGTGTCGATCTACAGGTCATGTGCTTATAGGCTATCACACTGGAATGGATCTTATATCCTTGATCTTCTTGACCGAGAGAACGTTCTAGTATGTGTGGTGAACAGGTTGTGTGGAGAGTAAAATGGCGATTTTTTTCAAATCATTTTTTGAACACGTAAACCTAGCGGAGACAAAATAAGGGCGCGGGGTACAATGTCGTAATTTAGCGCGAGTGTCAGTTTCGAGTGGGCACATACATGTAGATTATGCTACCGACCGTCGAACTAGAAACGCAGGCTTGAACTCATTTACATAGGTCACGGTGATGAGTTCGTGAGGTGTACAGGAAATTGAGTGTTGACGCTGTTGACAATCCTCTCAGTCTATATAATTCGTACGTACCATACAGGCCAGAGATTGTCCGTAGCACGTACATGTATATATTATTCATACTATACCGCGCACGCAGATTTTAAAACATCCACTTTAAGTAAAATGAGAGTGTCCATTTGCTAGAAAAAGAAATTGGTAGGTACAAAAAACTGCCTCAGTCGGTTGACGAGAGAGGGATGTAAATACTGTACAGGAAATGCAGTGGGCATGAGTTACATTTTATCTGTCAATTTCCACAATACCGTATTCTAAAAGAAGTAAGTTATTCTCAATATTCTTAGAAATCTCCAAAATCTATCAAAGCTTTCCCCACCTGACCTAATTAAGTTAGGATAGCTGTTATTTTATTCATAATTCATTTGTTACAGTTACAGGTACAACAACCACTGATACACCGTCTACCGTTACAACTGGCACTCCAGCTGACACTACAACACCCACTGGTACAACGACTACCGTTACAACTGCCACTCCAACTAACGATACAGCAACCACCAGCACACCGTCTACCGTTACACCTGGCACTCCGTCTGACACTACAGCACCCACTGGTACAACGACTACCGTTCCAACTGGCAGTCCAGCTGACACTACACCAGCCACTGGTACAACGACTACCGTTCCAACTGGCACTCCAGCTGACACTACAGCAACCACTGGTACAAAGACTACAGTTACAACTGGCACTCCAGCTGACACTACAGCAGCCACTGGTACAACGACTACCGTTCCAACTGGCACTCCAGCTGACACTACAGCAACCACTGGTACAACGACTACCGTTCCAACTGGCACTCCAGCTGACACTACAGCAACCACTGGTACAACGACTACCGTAACAACTGGCACTCCAGCTAACGATACAGCAACCACCAGTACACCAACAACCGCAACCACAACACCCGTAGACCAAGCGACTCAGACTACAGAGGCCGACGTAACGACTGAAACTATACAGACGACTACTGTACACACCACCACTGAACCACCCGCTGTTCAAACTACAATTTCTGCGACAACATCCCCAGTCTCCACTTCGTCTGCGACAACCAACACTTCACAGGGAACGACAGGGCAGCCTCAAACTACGACAACGAATAGCAGTACTATAGCTCCTACATCTGCCGCTTCTGAAACTACCGAGGTGAAAACTACTGACGCTTCTGAAACTACAGAGGTGAAAACTACTGCCGCTTCTGAAACTACAGAGGTCAAAACTACTGCCGCTTCCGAAACTACAGAGGTCAAAACTACCGCCGCTTCTGAAACTACAGAGGTCAAAACTACCGCCGCTTCTGAAACTACAGAGGTCAAAACTACTGCTTCTGAAACTACAGAGGTCAAAACTACTGCTGCTTCTGAAACTACAAAGGACAGAACTGCGCCCGCCAACACTGAGCAACCCGGATCTTCAAAAGCCCCCACTACCCAGCCTCCAGCGACAGGAAGCAGTACAACGGAGAAGGTAACAGCCTCCCCTAACACCATCATTGGCAAGTCCAGCACAGCAGCAAACCCTGAGGACCAACCCACTAACACGGTCACGGAGAGCACACCGTCGACACAAGAAACAACCCAACATCAGGATCAAAGTGGACAGACTGCTGGGATGAACCAGGGGACCGTCGTGGCCCTAGCGGTGACCATCCCCATTGCAGTGGTGGTCCTCATCATCACAGTAATCTTAATCCGAAGAAGAACCACGTGAGTGCAGTTTCTATTACTTTGTGCCTTTAATAGAATGCGCTGATTTGATACTATGGATGGCATATGGCCTTGGCTCCCACACAAAAATTTATACCTGGACACTGAGATTACTAGTATGCAAACTATCTTGATGAGACCTCAAAACTTTAGATTAGATTTTGGGGCCCCTGGCGGCTTCTTATGATACTGCTGCTGAATTTGATACCTGGTCTGAACATGTTAGTGTCACGAATTCTGGATGGAACAGAACTTTTGTGCTCGAGAAGAGGTGACATAGCACACACACACACCCAGCAGCCTGTTCTGGAACTGCAGGGGCGTTTGTAAAGAATCATCAGGGGTGGTAACATCATCGTAAGTTTTGGTATGTTGTTCTGGATGAGAAGTCTAACCATGCCTTTGTCCCGTGTACAGGGGGCGTTCACACAGAGGCTACATCACGGCAGACGAGGACTACGGCTGGACGTCCTTCCGCAACCCTGTTTACGACCGGGTAAGTCAGTCGAGCTTGCGTCATACAACTTTTACAAGAACAACATACGTATTTGTTACCATATGATGATGAATTCACATTTTTGCTGTTTCTTCTCTTCAACCCACCGACCCCCCCCCCCATTTAAATTTTGCAAGGATTTGGTATACAATGTCCTTACCTGAATTTATAAAAGCTTACTTATAGCTATGAAAGTTGAAAAATGCCTCTTTTTTTCCTTTTTTCTTACTAGTAGTCCGCGTTGATAAACGCCCTTGTTGAAAGTGTAGAAACTGTTAAACTGATGTCTCTTTTATTCCCTTTTTCTTACCAGTATTCCATGTTGAAAGGTGGTCGGGACGATCCATACTGAACCATCTGAAGGCTGAAGGCGGCAAGTTATAACTATGGACAAGTCACACCATCTATGAAAGCGTCAATGTTGCGGGTAGTTTTATCTGAACCAACAGAACTGTTCTTACAACTGTTTCTGTGGAGCATTCCTTATAATCAATATAACATCATCTCGGAAGCATTAATTCACAGGCTCCGGCATGTATTTCCACAAAAATAGATTTTCACCATCACGCCTGTAAATAAAGTCGAAAGCTTCTGTATCTGTATAGCCGGTACAACCGACCTCCGGCGTAACACACCAGCTTCGCAGGCACGCGGCGCGGCGGCAGCTGGCTACATTACACCGAACGACCTGTTACACCTAACCATTGAACATCTAACAAAAGCTTCACCTGCAAATTGTTTTCCTGCAAACATTTGAGCTTTCAATGACTCTAATTGATATCGTTATGATAAGTTATCAGGACAGAAATTTCAAAACCATATGCTTATATAGGCAGGCCCTAGCCAATATTGTGTTGTACATTTTCACTTAATATTAATGTCACTGAAAGCAAACATCTCCTACACAACTATCCTATGTATATGCTGTGGTATTTAATTTGTGGTATTAATTCCCGTTATCTTGATTCCAAATTTTTATGTATTTATATTCACATCAGGGTGTAATTCCAGGACTACTTTCATATCAATGTGCAATAAAACAAATAAAGAGTTTGTTTGTGACGTTGTATTCTTTGCCAATAGAAGATGATAAGACGGAAGAAAAGTTTAAAGAAAAGCTGGCCGATGGGAATAGCTGATATCGGGTAATGTGTCAGTGTGATGACGATGTGTGACTCAAATAATGGGCCGCCTTTAATAGTTATAGAGTTCAAGCTTGTTCCGACACAAAGAAATAACTCGTCAACCTTCGTCAACTGTTTAGGGTCACAGTCCTTCGGACGGGACGTTAACCGTGGTCCACTGTTCATTGTGCTTGTCGAAAAGACCTAGGGGAATTTCCACGGTACAATAAACCTGTATATACTGTACATAACGTCTGTCTTCTCTGTCACGACCAGTGGAAGATTAGCTCTTCAATGAGCGTAACTGGTTCGAGATCACTTTTTCTTTCTTTCTTTCTTTCTTTCTTTCTTTCTTTCTTTCTTTCTTTCTTTCTTTCTTTCTTTCTTTCTTTCTTTCTGTCAGATGAATGATGTATTCGTTGACTGGCCCTGATGTAAATTGCCTGTACCGCGACGATGGTAGATTCCGTCTTCCCGCCACTTTTGATGCACTCCTGACGTCATCACGCTTCCGACTTCCGGCAAGTCAACCAGTGGCAGTGCATCATTCATCCGACGGAGGTTGACGAATTATTTCTTGGAACAAGCTTGAACTCTATAACTAAGGTGACCCATTATTTGAGTCACACATCGTCATCACACTCACACCACCCAACCATCGGCCAGCTTTTCAAGTCAACCAGTGCATCATTCATCCGATGAAGTTGACAAGATCGACCGAAAGTTTATGGTGAGTTATTTCTTTGTGTTGGAACAAGCTTGAACTCTATAACTATGGATTCCACCAACACAGATGAGCTTTTATTCGAATCGGTTACCTTGCTAGTGACTTGAATTGGGCCGTGTCTAAACGGAATCACCCAAGGCGGTTTACATGTGGTTTACCCCGAAGCCGGTTTCAAGTGGCTCCATGTGAACGCTCCGAAATCACATTGAAAGCGCCTCGAGCCCAAGCCACTTCTAGAGGTGGTTTCGAATCGGTTTCCCCGCATCGCGATTTGCGTCTGAACGCAATGTGATTTCAATGTGACTTCGCCTGGTCATGGATTACGGGGTGATATTTCTTTATTTATATGCAATACCAACTTTTACGTGGCAGCAACTTAAAGAGCAGTAATGGTCAAATAATGTGTCCGTTCTAGGGCGAGCTTCACCGCCTCTGGCAGGACCACGTCGGCATTCGGCCGAGATACGCTGGGAGGGGGGCATCAGCAAGCAGGTCGTTGACCTCTGACATTAATAACACGCTACCTTGCGTGTTATCATCAAACAGCAATAAATGTAGCTCAAGCGCATTATGTTCGGACACGGTTTCACAGCCACAGGTGTGTGTGGCACGTGGACCAGATGTGAGGAATGTGAGTTACCCGAATCGTGGTTTGGGTGATTCCGTATAGACACGGTCTTGGAATAGTAGTTGCAATAGACTCAGGTGAAAACAGGAATGCTAGGCAGGCCTGACGCACAGAATGGGCACATGGGCCTGAGCCCTGATGCAAATGCAAATTAATATTGAAAAGTTACTATTGGAGTAAGACGCACAAGGGAGTGCGCTGCGCCCTTAATATCTCCTCAGGTGCAGTAGTACGGCTTCTTTGAACTCTGAGATTTCTGGTATGACCTGAGGAAGAGCGTTCCAATCCCTGACAGTCTGAGGAAAAATAGGAGAATCTGTAACAGTCTTTGTGAATCGGAAGAGACTTGGAAGGAATTTGGATTGGAGTGTCGCGATTGGCGCGGTGCAGGCATAAGCTGAGTTGCAATCGGTAGGGCTATTTTGTGTTATCTTGCTTTGTGCAATATTGAGAGTCTGCTAGTTGTCCTTCTGTTTAGTAATCGGTGTCCCACCGTAGATCGGAAACAAGCTTGGTGGTTCTGTCATGTGTAACAAATCTGGCGGCTCTTTTCTGAACCGATTCAAGTTTTGAAATATGTTCGTTGTGTTGAGGGTCCCATACAGCGCTAGCATATTCTAAATGCGGTCTAACCAAATTTGTGTATCCATTTTGTGTCACTGATTGCTTTTTGCCACCCAAAACCCACCCAACCATCGAACACCCAACAATCCAAACATCGAACGCGATACTATATGCAGCCCCGGCAAAAAGGAACACGAACAAGTAAGAAGACGCGGCACAATAAGTGTCATTAAACAGTTTTTCTTGCCTTTACATTTCAATAAGATTTCTCTGAGTCATATACATTTTGTACATGCATCTCTGTACAGGATGTGACGCATGTTCTAACCGGATATGACGTATCTGTACTACATAGAACCTGATGTCCTCGGTTTTACGACAATATCATGAAAAGCAAAATACCGTTAAAATTTATATGTAACAAAACTGATTGGAAAATACAAAATACAATACCATTTGTCTTTTTACATGCTTTCCAACATGCTCAACAGCCAACAACAAGTCCTAACAACAACAATAACAACTACTAACCATCAATGAACATCTGAGTTCACATTATTACAAGAACTTGAAGCAATAACATTATGGGTGAAATAAATTGCACAGCAATGTACTTTCAATCCGTTTATAGACTTTTCCTATAATCATAAAACATCATGAATTGTAGTATTCCATATATATATAAATATACATGTACACACGTAATAATTAATGATCATCAATTAAAGGTATCATCTTCAACATAGTTTGTACCGTAAAATTCCAGATCTATATACATACTGTTGGTGGCGTGGAGAACAAAATCTGGCGTGACCACCAGTTCATAAGTTAGAAGCATTTATTTTGAAAGTCGCCAGAGGACGCTACGTTGTCGCTCCGCATTGCACTTTTGAACTTGATTGCAATTACCAAGCCAGTTATTAACGGTCAGTTCCATCCATTCATCCACTGTTCAAATGTCTCATATCTCAATCTTTTGTACTTTGGTGCACCAACATATCTGACCAAGTCTTACTTCTTTTTCTTCTTTCCCACGTAGTAACCAAAGTCGTTACCATCTCTCTGAGAGCTCTGACCTCTCACGTTCACGATCCCATAGCCCCGCCCACCTTCGTCAAAACGTAAAATTGCAAATATTTGACAGGCATGCAGCCACGTTCTCATTGGTTGAACCACTGATTGCCACGCTCTCATTGGTCGATCTGCATTGCATGATGTTGGTCAATTGAAGCTTTTGCGTAGAGACCCTATTTTGGTCTAGATTTAGTTTCTTCTTCTTAGATTAAATAATTTACAGATTCTTTCAAGTTCCTATTTTTTACTTGGGTGAAATCAACACGCTATTCGGTGTCCCTTTTTATAAACCATTGGTGCAAGTCAAACATGTCATTTGTGATCCTCTGCCACGCTAAGGCAAGACAACCCGACCTCCCGTCGGGCTCAGGGCCAGCCCTGGCCCGAGCGCTCCCCGTGGTCACTCCGGTACCTCCTTACGAGGTTTCTTCGGTAGACACAACGTGAAACAGTTAGTCGTTCCACTGCGGGGAAACCCAGCTTTCGAAGGTTGACAGACCCACTGCTCGTCGTCTATAGTGTAAGGTAGAGTCATGAGTTTGTTGACTGTGTAGACCGTGTTGCCTATGATGGCGCTCTTGAAGAGGCAGCCTCTCCGGTTGATGTAGTGGCCCTTCAGAGAGCTCCACTGGTTGGTCGTGACGTTGAAGCAGTCGATCTCACAGCGCAGGAAGTCTGCGTCAGGCCCGTTTCTGATGACGTAGAGCACATCCCTGCAGACACATGGGCAAAATGTGTCACTCAATCTTCGACATTGACAACAATGTACAGTACAGACTGTGCCAAACTTGCAGAGACGGCCGGAAAGTGGTATAGAGATTACATGGTGATGGTGGTGACGCACTCAAGTATTTGACGCCACTAAATAAAGGTAAAGACATTATAAAATGCAAAAGGTAAAACAAATACAGAACGTATACATTACTAACAGAGGGTACAAAATGTACATAAAGAAGAAATGCTTTTTAAAAAACTGGACAGGGGACAAAATAGGAATTGCCGGTTGGGTGGCGTGGACGTGATGACGATGTGTGACTCAAATAATGTTGTCACCTTAATGACTTGAATTGGACGCTAAAACGAGACGCTAAAGTTTCGCACAGGCAAACTACGTTCCCCCAATGTGTTTGCTGACATCCCTTACCTGTAGGACACCATGCAGTGTCCGTAGCTGTGCGTCCTCCTCAGGGTGGCTTTCATCTCCCACCTGTCTGTCCTCGGGCTGTACCTGAAGATGACACAGTGTGAGACAATCGTATTTCTGTTGGCTAAATCCGCAAAGGACGTCGACGAAAACGTAGGCAGCTCCGTGCAATTAAGTGTAGAATGTTATCTAAAAGTCGACTGTGCATGCCCCTGTATTGAAATGTGTTTTGCTGTGTTTAACGGCCTCGCTAAAACAGAGGCAAAATGAGATAGACCAAGTTGCACAACACCGTCAGAGAAATACGTCGGAACTTGTCACAACCGCTACAAGAAATACAAAAAATTCAAGCACAGGTTAAGCGTGTGTAAATGTTCGCATTAGGCATAAGTGTTCTTAAAGATACAATTCCGTGCACTGAATATAAGTCGATATATTCTTTCATCTGTCTGGAAGCCGGGTGAATGAATGAGACTTAGACCCCATTTCCATTAGGATAGAATTGTCCGGATCGAACCAAATTGATTCGCTTTGATCCGGCTTCCATCCGGTTTCATCCGGCTTCGATCCGGCTCGAAGCCGGATCAAAGCGAATCAATTTTAACCTAGTGGGAGTGGGGCCTTACCTGTAGATGTCCGTGGTGTTGGGCGGGTGCCACACGCACACGTAGATGTGTCCTGCGCACGTGGTGGCGGCGTGGTCGGACGAGGCGTAGGGCAGCGGGCTGACGAAGTCCCAGGTGTCTGTGCGCGGGCTGTACACCTCCACGGTCTGCAGGGCGTAGTCCCCGAACCTGCGTGGGATAGTGTGGCGTAATGGTTTAATAGGGGGTTTGGCACAGAATCCAGGGTCCATGGTTCAAACTCACCAACATGCCTCGATGTTGAGCCCCTGTGAAAGGGGTGGGGGTGGGAGTAGGTAGGTGAAAACGAGTACCTAGCTTTGGTTAGGGACGTCCTTCGCCATGGGCATAGGAAGTTAGATAGAGGGGGCCCGCAAGCCCTTTTCCGTAGAGCGTAATCAGCTGTTTTAATTCTATGTAGAGCGTAGACGGACCACTTTAATTCAACGTAGAGCGTAATTGGCGCTTTTTGCGTAGAGCGTAATTCGCCGTTTTATTTTACGTAATGCGTTGTAGCCACTTGGAATTTAACGTAAAGCGTAATCGGGAGGTTTCCTGAGTTCAGTGTAATACGTAGCCAGCTCTCAAAATTTAACGTAGAGCATTGTCGGGACCCCCCCATGCAAGCCCCCAATAGAGATTGGGGAGAGCCACACCTCACGCACGTTTTAAGAACCCACCACACCTTTTGCAAAAGAGTAAGGGCATGCCCCGGTGTACCATGATCCAAATACTATACATGGACTTACTGAAAGTTGATGATTCACTACTGACTCCAGGAAGAATATAATGTGAAATTTACTCTAATTTAGAGGATCATGCAGACCTAAGTGAGTGAGTGAGTAAGTGAGATACTAGTAAAACAAACAAACAAATAAACAAACAAACAAACAAACCTGCCGCCGATCGCGTAGAGCTTGCCGTCTAGCGCTACTAGAGAGAAGGACTTTCTCTGCTGGTGCATGGGGGTGATCTCGGACCAGGAGTCGGCGGCGGGGTCGTAGCAGAACGCCTTGTCCTGCATGGCGGGAAACTGGCTGATGACCTTATGGAAGTCCGCCTGCCCGCCCGTTACGTACAGTTTGTTGTTGAGAACCGCGATACCGCTCGATATCGTGCTGCAGTCGGCGGGGAGAGCCGTCAGCCTCTCCCACGTGTCTTTGTCCTCGTCGAAGTAGTGAATGAGTCGGTATTGGTCGTCGTACAACGACGTCACGTCGACCGCGTGCGTTCCCACGCCCACCAGGTATCTCCTCAACTGCCCCTTGAACCTCTCCTGTTGCTCGTACTTCAACTTACCCATCACTTCTTCCCCGTTCTTAAAGTGGTCCTTCAGGAAACGATAGGCGCTGTCCTCCAGGTCGCTCACCCCGTACACTTCCGAGTAGGTCAGGACCTCCATGCAGTTCTCCGTGTCCAGGCGGTACTTGATGTGCTCCATGACCGAGCGCATCTGCAGGAAGCTGGCGTGGGCCAGTAGCGCCTCGATCATGATCTTCTTCACCGACAGTTTCCCCGTGTAGAGGAAGTCCAAGAGGAGCTCGAACACTCTTCCCGAAAACCCCTCCAGATCCACCTCCTCCTGCTTGCACTCCCGCATCCCTGACTCGAACATGGCGCGGAAGTAGTCGCTCTCGGCGGCCAGCAGGTCCTTGTGGGTTCGGAAGCGCTGGCGGCCGGTGCAGAGCCAGATGTCGGGCCGCCCCAGCCCGAGGTGACTCCCGTCGTACGTTTTGACCAGCGACGACTTCGGCATGTCCGGCTCCTCGTCACTGGAGCTCATGTAGGACTGCCTGGTCAGGTGACCGGCCATGGTGGACGAGAAAACTCCCGATCGTGGATGGAACTACAACCAGATTCTTCTCTTCTCGCTTTACTGAAAAACAACAAAAGAAGAGACTTTGAGGATTAAAATTAACCCAAAAACACAAAATTCAAGATAATCTGTGAATTCGTACACAAGGCCGACGCTCAAGATATACGGGTGAATGGATACCCGATCTCCGTTCACAGAAACACGACAAGTACTTGTCAACACGGTTGGCTGTGTACCAGCCACACAGCTGACCACTGCACGACATTCGCTAATCGCCGTTATCAAGTAATTACACTCACGTCCGAGTTGCCGAATCGCTGCTTAACAAGTACCGACAGACTTAAGTCCGGCCATCCGCTTCTGGGAGACCTCGCGATCGGTGGTGCTCAGTTTTAGTCCGTTGATCTGCAGTGATCGGGACTGGAACTCAGAGTAGGACTCAACTACTATGTGGACTTGTCGCAGGTCTTTTTATATCGCAGGGCACGGAGATGGGCCGACAAAAATAGCAGAGGTATCTATCTGACGTAACACTTGTTTGAACTGGAACAGCGCAGCCGGTTTTAAAGCTGGCGTCCTACATGGGTTTATATGGCGTCATTTGTGGGTATTTGCTAAGTGCTGAAAACCATATACATGCACACTACGGAGATTAAGATACTAATTAGACCGTTTGTAAATAGTACACTACTGTACAAGTGTCTGTCTCGTGGCCAGAGGGTTCGTAGCAGGTTCTTCGACGCCACACATTTCGGACAGACGCCAACACGATCACGTAGCAAACGCACGCGCCATATTTGTGTGTTTGTTTTTGTTTTGCGTCCCTCTCAGAAGGCCAACGATACACACACATACACAGTACACAACATCATGCACAGTCCACGTGACCAGGCGTTATTTGGACAAACAACAACAACAACATCTAGGGGCGAGACACAACACCGAACTCGATATGGCGAACATGGGAAGAATGACAGTGATGGGGTGCTACATTCCCAGCGAGTGTTTCACACACACACTACGTTCTCAGCAGATGACGATGATACATACTGTCTTTCCTAACCAACTTCTCTTTGCATATAACATTTCTCACGAAAATCTTAGGTGTGAGCATAACGTGATATGCATTTTATATGTGTCAGGTCGCGACGTCTTTTTCCGATTTCATATACCTGGCAAGACTCTTGAATATGCTTTGAAACCCCGTGTTATTTTATATGACAAGGATGATACTTTGAATTTGTTATTTGTGTTTTGTTTGTATATGTATAGCTTAAAATCGCACTATTCAGCGAGCCTTTTTAGTTGCCTACAATGTGGTTTTAGCATGTAATATTGTTCTCAATAAACAAATTATTATATTGCTGTAATTATGATCGTGGCCAACAAGATCTTCAGGACGGATCTTATCACAAAAACATTACAAGGTCATGTGAGTGTACGATACGAGAGAGTCAACATCCGAGATTATGAAATACTGACTTCATAACAACGTAACGTGCGTCAGAGGAAGTGATTTGGCATCAGTGTGGCTTTTCCTTGGGCCATCAGCTGTTAGTGATGATCGTATGTTTGTCAACTTGTCGCGTTATCAACAGATGGGCGACTGCCATAGGAGAGATTTATTGCTATTGACATATATTTATCCATTTTCTGACAGTGATATCACTCAGGTTCATTCATATGATCGGTTGATCGTTTCCATGTCATCCCCGTTTTATTTTTCCACTTATATAAAAAGGGAATCCGATACATTATTGATATGAATCATGTTTGTTTACATGAAACCGTGTATATGATCTCATGATCCCTACATTAGCAAGTTCGTTTCAATGTAAGGAGGTTATGTCGACTTTGCTGTCCTCTTAATGCACCTGTCAATGTATTACGGCGGGCTTTTGAGACTCTAGGAAAGAGTAGAAACAAATATACTGCACCTTCTCATCCAATAGTCTCTACAGGCTCTTTGGGTTCCTGATAAGATAATAAGTATTGACCAAATAAACTGAATAAATTGCCACGGTTGTAAGTGAACCGAGGGGATACTTAATTGTAAGTTTTAGTTATTTTCCAGCGACTCAAAGAGACTTCTCATGTAATTTCCTATCCGGGGCCCGGCCGGTCAGTTTGCAGGAGCGAAAGGTTTGATATCAATGATATAAGACAACAAAACAAAAAAGAGAAAAGAACCAATGAAGAGCACTTTTTTGTGTATATTCTTGATATGGATTGTTTATTTTTCATTCACGCAAACAGCCCGGCCGGGTCCCGGTTCAGTGGAAACGTAACTCTGGTAGATACTAATCCAGATTTGGGCGTTTCAACTTCGAGCCAAGTGAACTGAACTGTCTTCCGCTTTTTTGTTTGGTCTGTGTCGATTCTAGCTTCGTAGTAATCTCGTTTGACCTTCGTGTGTTGCGGCTGCCTTGGGCTCGCATTTCTACGGACTTTGTTTTGAAGCCTGTTTGCTCATATATAGCCACGCGGGACCCAGGCGATCACGTAGCGGACTCACAGCTGTCATTGGAAGAGTGCCTGTCTTCTACTGAGGGCCAGAACCAGAAAAGAAAACGCACATCACTAGACAGACAGAAAACGCTGTAAAAGCAGACCATTCCAACATACAAGTCACACATTTGCTAGCTAGGAGAATACTACAGACGCTGCGCTGGTATAGATGTATGGTTGAATAAAATTATGGTATTTTCTGCAGATGACCTCAAACTGGTGAAGGCCAGTTGTTTAAGCTGTGCTTCGACCGTGTAACAGAAAATTTGAGAAACAAAACGCGGTTGCGTCGTCGTGCAAACTTTTAAAATACATGTACATATGGGAATGAAGTTTCGTTTGCTCTAGTACAGGTGTGTTATGCACTGCAATCGTTTGTCGTGCTATGCCTGAAATCCTGAAACTGAGGAAAATGCTGTTATCTACATCTAGCTCTAATTTGTTATAGGGGGTTCGTACGCGTATACGAAATGTCTTTGTTAGCCGAAAGGAAGTTGTCATGGCTCAATTATGTCTGTCGGGAGGCTGTTGCAAGTCGAAAGCCGAGAGGCACCAAGCCGAAAGTGGCGCCCTTCATTTTGACTGGTCCATGTCGAACTTGCTCGCACCACAAGGGGGAATGGTGGAAGTATGTCAGGCGTCTCCGGACCGCAGCCGGCCGGGAACATCCCGTTTATGGCGTGCTTCACAAAACTGACTCTTACCGCTAAACGTTCTAACATGTACGGCAAACCTAAGAACGTATCAGAGATGCATGTCATGACTCATTTGCCGCCAAAGTCATGGCGCAGCATATTGTTTCGGACTGAACATGGCCACCCAAGAAATGCCAATACTTATCCATTGACAGGCATCTATGTTGATATAACGATTAGACTTGCGGTAATTCACTTCACACTCACCTTGTCAATGGACGAAGTTTGAAGCTTGTGTACACGTGAGGGGACGGACATATAAAACGGTTCACTTGTATATTTCTGAGCGCCTCGAGTTTTAGTCAGTGACACGCACCGTGGAGTGGTAAACAACAGGGAGACCGGCTGCCCGGTTTTTGACGTATTTTTGGGTGTTGGAACATGGTTTCTAAAATTAGCGCGCAGCCGGCTTGTCAGGCGATCCGGCTGAGGAATGCCCTCTCTGCCAGGCGGTGATGAGAAGACCGCGTGTGGCGCAGCGATTCGCCGGGTCGCCCGGCTGGTTCCTGGAAATGTGCGCGCCCACTCGAATTTCTTACCTTCTAAAGCAATATACGAGTCTTCACGGAGCCGCTCGTCAAGTTCGACAGTGTTTGTCCGAGGCGCGCTCACGTATTTGCACAACCTCCTCCCTGCAGTTCAAGAGACATTTGCTAGGTGGCGGTTTACAACGAATCAGAGCCACTTTAAGCTGTGGCCTAGTAGAAATATATCCGTCTGTTTAGCAAACAAAGGATAACGCTGAATGCTTCTGTGCATTAATGTTAAAGCTTTCACTTGATATACCATATTCTATTTCCTTGTCATACTCAAGTGAGATTTTGTCGTTACCATAGTCCTCTGACCAAATTATGCTTCTAACAGAAATAAATAACAAGACTTCTGCGATCTCATACCTTCACCAAATGATGTTAACGTTTATGACTGCTGAAGTATAAAGGTCTGTCATTCATTACTAGTATACAAACGAAACCCTCATTTGCATGTATCAGATGATCTTATTCTCCACAAAAAGAAAGATACAATAGTAGTACTCTGGCATTTCCAGTAAACACATAATCAAACTGTATTTAAAGCACTATAACCTCCTTGATTAAAGGTAGAAAAATGCATTACCCAATATATATATATCTGTGTTGCTGCTTTTCCTCAAATGATACATTTCAGAATGTGGCTCACAGCATCAAATTATGGCAGATCTTTGTGACATTAAAGCTTCCTGGTTTTCACACACCTGTTCGATTGTCAAAAACTTTTAAACTGCATTTGCAAACAAGATAAAACAAATTGACTGCATATTGGTCAATACACCACAGGATAGTTAAGCATATAGATATTGCAATAATGTGCATCTAAGCCACAACTCCTAAGCTGAAATGACAGAAAATGTCAAATGTAACAGGCAACCCTGTAGACTTTTTAACATCTATTACTTCCAGTGAATATGTCACAGAATACATCACACCAAAAAAATTGAACATTTCTTTGGCCCAATATATATATACTACCAATTTTGATTCTAATTTAATAATACTCAGGAATTTATGCTAAGAATCTTCAGATTTGTTTGGTAACTACAGTAAAATCTCAACATTTTTCACTAACATAGCCTACTTGTCAATGTAGCTCTGTGACATCATATTTGGTCCTCACAATTTCCTTAGCATTACATATACACTTGTCCGGCAAAGTAGCTTAAAAGTTGTCTGTATCTATCATCTCATTGTAAAAAATACAATTATGAAAATTTTCAAAGTGGATCTAAATTTCATATCTAGCTTCATTTACATCATAAAATCTTTTAATCATAAAATACTTTGATACAAAGAAATGTTGTCAAACTTCTAAAAATATTGTATCTAAATCAATAAAGGCAAAACAGCCATTGAGATTCATAAAGTAGTAATTTAAGTACAATTGTACCTTGAATAGGATTTCATACAATCTCATAAATTCACTGCATTTGAGAATAACTTCTTCTTTTACTTTGGTTACATCATGAAAAAACAATTCGTGGTTCAAATTTAAGGTAAAACTTGAATTTTATTGCCTGTCCCTTTAAGTCTGTATTCAGGAGCCAATCCTGGTTGTTTTTGATTGTCTCAAGACACTTAAGCAATACCCTTGACCTTTTGACCTCTGCATCTAAGACATCCCCCAACCATGTCCAGGACATTCTCCTTGTGAATTTCTTACGATTAACTCAAGATAAATTTTGACAATGTGCCATTGAGACATTTTTTTCCATTTTCTGATCTTGATTGAGATATAAACCTTTATAAACTTTAGGCACTATAAACTTATAAACTTTAGTTTCTAGATAATCTCCAACAGTGCCCAAACAGAGAAAGTACTGCATTTTGTGCTAAGAAAAATGTTTACACTGTTCCATAGACAGTTTTTCCACTTTCAATCTTAAGATAATTAAAACCTTTGAAATTTATGTGATTCTATTTTTTAGAAAATCTCAATTGGGAAGTACCAAAGAGGAAGTCACTACCCGAACAGAGAAAGTTCCACAGTTCCTGTTAAGAAAAATGTTGACACTGCGCCATTCAGACAGTCTTTCTATTTTCCTTTCTTGATTATAAAGATTATTAAAACTCTAGATAATCTCCGACAGTACCATGCAAACAGGAGAAGAAAAGTACTGCATTTCCAGTTACGGGCTAAATTTATGATTGAAGTGATACTTTTGATTCAAAGATTAGAAAACTGGCTCAACAAGACAAATTCTTGGCCAAAACTTTGGTCTTCCTCAAAGTGCTTAATATGCATGTGCTATAACCCACTTAACTATCTGACACCTCTGAAAATGTGATGTCAGTAAAGGGTCAGAGGAGCTAGGGAGTCTGCATAACCCTTGACCTGGTTGACCCATGTCTGATCTCAACATTTCTTGAAGGTCGCACACCTGTTTGATTGTCAAAAAAGTTTTGTCAAACTGCATTTGCAAACAACAGAAAACAAATTTACTGTAATTGTTGACACATCTTGTCTGTCTAATAACATAGATAGATCCTGGAGAAAGATGTCTCTACTACAGCCATGCTACAGTTCTGGACACCTGTAGATGATTGATTTAACATAGATGAAAACTATCGTGCGGCTGACTTGCGGCCTTATGTTGCGTCTCTGTACTCTGCCTCCAGGTCGGTGGCCTGTGTGAGGAAGGTGGAGACTGTGGAGCCGGTGCTGATGTGGGGCGTACTGGCAACCAACACCTGCAACAGAGTACATATGTCAATATCATCATCATCATCGGTCAACCATATTGGTTGGTGTTACCCCTCTTTACCATTAGCACACAAGATGGGGGTGCGCCATGTCTATGCTGGTGAGCGGCAAAACAAAACAAATATTCAGGATGAGGAAATTCGTCCGATATTGACATTTCCCGACATTTGTTAGCACATTTTTGTCATCATTCCATACTTCAAGCGTGCGAAATAGCCCCCAAAAGAGTTATGTGAGGTGTCTCTATTTTTTGGGTTCCGCCCAGCAATACCTAGAACCTGAGTATATGATTAGCAACTGTTTTTCGTCAGCAACATCGCATTTTTGCTTCACAGATATCAGTACACTTTGGAATAGGCTTGACTCAAGTTACTGTCAATAATGGTACATTAAAGGAATTGAATTGACCAGCAAATTGACATTGAAAATCCAGCATCTTCTGCCCTGAAATTAAATTGGATGCCTTTAATCTAGTACATACTACGTCTCCTAGAAAGCGACTACATGTACTAGTACCTTCCTGTAGCCAGGACAAGGGTGCAGCTGCCCAAACTGACACATGCTGCAGGAGTGGACGTTTCGAGTACGCAGACGGGGACCAGGCTGCCGTGGCCCGATACTGCCCTCTGTGGGATACACCTGCAAGAACAAAATTACACTTCTGTCACAGTGTGATGGCTCTACGCTCTACGCTAAATTGAGAGCAGGCTACGTATCACGCTGAATTAAAGCCTCCCCATTATGCTTTACGATAAATTTTGGGTAGCTACAATGCATTACATGGAATTAAAATGGCGAATTACACTCAATATGTATGGGCTAAGTGTAGAAGACACAAAACAGACTAAAGTAACAGTCACACAAGCAACTGGATAGATTTTTAAAATGGTCAAATGTTTCAGGTAGCTTCCACTGCATTTTGTAAGTGACTGGCAAAGTGGCATCTCATTACCTGCAATAATTGTCTAACCTTCCTTGACACAAATCACAGTTCTGTTCAACCACCTGTTATTTCCTTCATTCGTCCATTCAATGATTTATCCTGGTTTGTTCATTTAATCTTCAAACTCAGTGTACAAAATGCTTTTTTGAACCAGGTTGCCCAGTGGCAAAGTTAGGTTGCCCATCAGAATTTTAGGTTGCCCCACCTATAAGTTACTACATTCCTCAAATTAAGTAATGTTACATACATAAGCCTTTGACGATATTTCTAACAGCCTTTAGTTAACTGATACTATTATAAATTTTGCACGCTGTAACTAGACTGCCATGTTACCCTGACCTGTACATTCTTGCAGTTGTGGCAGTCTGCAGGCTTGTTGTACTGTGCCCAGCCTGTGAAGGTGTTACCACAGTGCTGGCAGGTAAACTTGCCGATGCCATACTCCTGGTCCTTAGGAATGGGATTGTACTTCACATGGCACCTGTTACACCTGGGTCACAACAAAACAGTGCATGGTTACCACCTTTATAGACAAGACTGGCAATGAAAACATACATTGCCATGGCGACGGTGGCTGCTGTTAGGGTTATTGTTTGCATGGCACTGCCGTCATTTCATGATTTTGAGGAACACTTGGTACAGATACAGTGCACCCTTGAGTGTATAGTGAACAAGGCACGGAGTCACAGAAAGTAGGGCCATCCGGGACAGACAGGTCTTCCCAAGGGTTTCCAGGAATGTGGGCATAGATGTGGGTCAGAGACATGCCTGTGGACATTCCATGCCTGTGGACAAATAGCCTGTACCATTCCTAGAATTCTTGCAAACTGCACACAATATTGTGCCATTAGGCTCCTCCCTGAGACGTCGCCAAAAAATCTTTCCTCAATTTTTCAAACGAATATGCAGTACTGTAACAAAGAATGGATTGGCAGGTTACAACAAGACACGTGTTGTACCATAAAATCAAAACATAAAAACCATAAACAATCTTTTTTACAAACATTTAACAATAATTAAAGGTTGGCAAACTTTGCTTAGCAATATTGGGTGGTTCTTTTTTTTTTTTTAATTTGGTACAATCAATGATATACCTGTGATCGGTGGGGAAAAGACTACCAAGACTGAAGGTGTGATATGTTGTTGGTGGACTGAGCCACTTCCAAGAAGGGGGGTTCTTTCATGACCCAGAACAGACCATCCAGACCCAATTTTTCGTCACCCCTGCATCACTTTTGGGGGTGCCCAGAGAATGTCATCCATATAATCAAATCTTGTATGGCCTTAGCGATTAAAAAAGTGATTAAAAATCAGTGAGAACACCTACTTGGACACCGGTTTGTGCTCGAACACCTTTTTCCACCAGGTGCTGTCGCACGGCGCACATCCGAACTGTCTTCGCTCCACCAGCTCCCTGTCGTGTCGCCTCAGGTTCTCCACCGTCAGCGCCGAGACGCCCTCGGGGAGGTCCGCACTCGCTTGGCGTCTGTCCTGAAGTCGTGCAAACATTACGACAGATAAGAGGGTCTGCATGGGGGATCCTGGCAACTCTTCTAAGTTTTAGGGTTAATTCCTGAAGTCAGCAAAGTTTGAGCAAACATTATGACTGAGAGGGTCTGCAGGGGGGGATCCTGGCAACACTTAACAGTAAATTTAGGATTGTTGACAATGCTTAAGGGTAATTTCCGGAAGTCAGCAAAGTTGTGCAAACATTATAACACATAAAAGGGTCTGCATGGGGGATCCTGGCAGCACTTTATGGTAAATTTTGGACGGTTGGTGATGGTTAAGGGTAAATTCCTGAAGTCAGCAAAGTTGTGCAAACATTATGACACATCAGAGGGTCTGCATGGGGAGATTCTGGCAACATTTTATGGTAAATTTTGGACAGTTGGCAATGATTAAGAGTTAAAATTCAGGAAGGCTGGGCAAAAACACTTGATGGTATATGAAGTTTAACGTTTTCAGAAATACTTGTTTTGCATTCATCATAAGGCTGTCTGACAAAATTAGTCTGCAGACACCAGACGATCAACCCCCAGCTAGTGTTGCTGCCACAGTTTGCATGTCCCTCTGCTTGAACACTTACCCTGGTGAGTCGACGCTGAAGCAGTGCGATGGCTATTTCCACATCGTTCGCTCGGCCACGCATGAGGAAGTACAGGGTACCGTTTGGCCGTTCCTGGAGAAAACAAACATCTATGAACTGACTTCACAACTTTGTACAAGATGGTACATTGCAAATTTTCTTACTCCAAACTTGTGAAAAAAAGTGACTAGGAAAATTCAATTAATATACTTCACTGAATTTGGGTACGTGACATGCCAGTGAATTTCCAAGTAAAACTGAACTAACTGAACTGAACTGACCTGACCTGACATTCATTATCATTATTCATGACCACGAAGAAACAATTCTACGATTAAAATCAAATAACCTACCTACATGTGCATATTTTATAGGTCCTGGAGTGGTCTAATTTGACCGCCTCAAAATAAAAAAGTCAAACACAATAAATGTAGTACACTAAAGGAACACTGTTGTATTTTTCATCACTATTTCTATGTTACATGTGCTTGCAATTAGCCTTAAAGTTTATGGATGTATTTGCAATATGCTTATATGTACAATATATATTCATTATGTTTAGGCAGCTTGCTGTGCTTCTGTACCTTGCTGTGCTTCTGTACAGCAAAAGCTTCACAGGCAACGCTTCGATATTTAGCCTGTTTTCTGTCTTGCTGATTACAAACTCAGTTTTCTGATTGCTACTGTTCTGACACCTGCTCACTTCCTTACCCTTGTGGTACTAACATAGTGATCAGTCAGAGTAAAGGATGCAATCAGCGCAAATTATCAATACAAACATGCCGCCCAAGACGCCAGTTGTGGAGGATACCCCCCACTGTTACACTACTCCCCCTTTTCTTTTCAAAGGGGGAGTAGTTTTCAAGATTCGTCCTCAAATCTTCCGAATTCGACATCCCTGGAGCAGCACTCTTTGCCAGAACTCCTAGGGCTGGTGTGGGAATCACTGTAAGAAATGGGCGAGCAGTAGAAAGCACTCTTTGCCAGAACTCCTAGGGCCGGTGTGGGAATCACTGTAAGAAATGGGCGAGCAGTAGAAAGTCTGAAACATATAAAAACCCTCCTGGTCCCAGGCCTGGGTTCGAACCCACGACCTCCCGAGCACCAGCTTCAGACTCCTCTAACCACTCGGCCGAAAAGGTCTAGACCCATCGGCCGGGTCAGTTGGTAGCGCCAAACCCCCCACTGTTACATACTGATAAATGTTTTGACCTCAAACACATGTACCTCAGCTTTACGTCCCATCCAAGAGGACATCCCTAACGGACGCCAGGTACTTATTTGCACCTGAGTTGAGTGAAGAAATAGGTGTAAAGTGCCTTTCCCAAGGACACAACCCTGGGGCCTGCCAGGGATTTGAACCCAGAACCATCAGGTTCTGACAACCCTAACCACAAGACAACCTTGTTATAACACACTAGCTTAAATGGTCTTCAATATTGTGTGATAGATGACTGAAAGCCTGATTCTTTGCTTTGTCTCATAATATTCGCTTTCTCTATCATATAATCAACTTTCCTTGAGCTATAAGAAACCAAGACACTCATCTAAAATAAATATACATGTACCATCAATTACTTTTTGGCAGATTACAACTTACATAAAGAGTATGGAGGACATCTATAAGAGAAGAGAATCCATTTCCTCATCCATTATATTTGGCAGTACTAGAGAAGTAGAAGTTAGGACAACTAGAATGATTTACAACTATCTGCTGACTGACCTGATACTCCATGTTTGCAATGTTGTGCTTGATTTTGATTTCTCGACAAATCGCTCGGATCTTGTCACCAGCTCGTGGGTCCTCATATCGTTTATACTCCTTAGCGATGTAAAATGCCTGAAAAACAGGTGGGAGAAGTACATGTAATCTTTTTAATGTGGCTCATGTTATACTCTCGTGTCAATAGTTGGTTCTACTTATCTAAGAACCAAAAAACTTTGTTTCCAATAAAATCAACAGACAGTAAAATCTTAAAACTGAATGATACATATCTTCTGCATGCAGTAATTTATTTCTTGCATAAAGGAGAAATGTCATTAGATAAACAATAGCAATGTCATGTATTACAGATTTCTGATTGAAAGTACCATATTCATATTGCAGATTTCTGATTGCGATTATCATATTCACCCTTTCAATCTCTGCATTTGCAGGTTGTGCCATCTTGTTCTTTCCTGCAAAAAAACAACAAAATAAAAACATTTAATATATATCAATACACTATAACATGCTGCAGAGCCCAGAATATTTCTCAGTTATTTCACAGTTCATCTAAAATGTTGTTATTCTACAACCTGTTAATCAGCAAATGATCACGTGACCAGAACTTGAGGGGGCTAATTAACATAATGTTGCTGTTCTGTGCCAAAGTTCAGGTCCGATGTAAACCGTATAAACAACTTTTCAGAGCAGTCAAAAGAGTCACTCTCCTATCACTAATACGTGTCTCGTACTGTTAACAGGTGCTACATGTAACGCTTATGTATAGCTTCTGCAACCTGTGTGTGTTAATTTGAGGTAAAGTTAACGTTAAAAGGCAATGTCCATATGGGAAGCTTACCTCCTACTTGTTCTATCCCTAAATCCGTGCGCTATTTCTCCTCAAGAATGACCTCTTTCTACTTGACAGAGACGATCCAGCGGGATCAGACTGAGGTTTTCTTTATTTAGGTCGAGCCGCGGCGAAGAAGACACACAAACTTCCTGCTTCCTTGCCTGCTGAGCTGGCGACCTTTCACACCTGCGCCGTGCGCAAAGGGTCAGAGGACGTTGACCTTGACTTTAAGTTTTTTTTGCTTCATCAAGCAGATGTCGGGAGAGGAAACTTTAGATTTCTTGAAAGGATTGTGTGTGAGGAGGGTGGGTTGCCGGTGGAAGGGGCAAATTGGAGAATGATACGACCCCCATCTGCTTGGAGTTCAAAGTTAGCGGTTACAGGTTGACGCCAGGAAGCGAAGTCGGACGGACCAATGTGGTTCATTGGAGGGGGTGTGGGCAGGGTGTGGGCATGGCCTGGTGACTTCTTCCAAGGAAGGCGCTAAAGGGGATGAGCTAGTTTTCCGTTGGCGTTTGTAAATTTCTTTATTGGTGTGTTTGTGAAGTAGTGAAAAGTTACGAAGTTTGACAACAATCAAAACGTAGAAATGCAACAAGAAGAAACAGGAAAATGCCAATGCGTGACGGACATGCAGTCACTTTCCTTTTGGTCAAATTGCTATAATTGCAATTCTCTCATTGATTAAACTGCTAATTGTGATGGGCAGTACGGATTGGTCTATTGAGGCAGGTAGCTTGAGCTTTTGTCACCTCTGGACAAAGGTGGAAAAGAGAGACTACAGAAATACAGACGGTCCAATTTCAAAGTCATCTTCTTCATGTTCGAGTGACGAAACTTTCTATCGTTAGTGAAGCTGAAGAAAATTGTCTGGAACTAATCTCCGTATTTTATCCATTTACTAGAGTTTGAATTGTCTGCGAATATGGTTTACTTGGATGTCTAACCTTCTTCAACGTACCGGTCTCATAAATCGTCAGTGTGAATATACGTTCAGCACCAGGGACAGGACTAGCACGAAGTCACTGGGAGGGGTGTTCGCGACCATAAGGTCAATGACCTGCACCAGACGTCTGTCACCATGGTAACTGGGAATTGTCACCTTAGCACTACACAGTGTTTGTAACACGAAGGAGATTTGTAGAATGTCCTTGGTAACACGTGTACAGGCAGATATTGTACCTGGCCCCTTTTTAACCTCTCAGTCTTATCAGTGTTAGATTCCATTTCTTCATTTGCCCTAGCCCGAAATCCGGCCGTTACTGTAGTGTTAGCCATGTGTTTCCTCCTCCCAAAAGTCGCTCCCCGCCGATATAGCTAACAAGGCTGGATTTCAGGCTACCTTTGCGCTAATTGGGTGGATCCGCCCCCTTACTAATGTTTACGTTACGGTTCACCCGACCAGGCTACGAGATAAGGAAAGACAACACACAGTTAGGTAGACTTATCAAGTCTATTTATTCATTCATATCAATAATAACTGTCTCAATCATCACAATGCAACAGTCTTATCAATAGACTTGGGGGTAAAAAATTACTTTTATAATATTTACAAGTTTATCTTTGTTAATAGTCTCTATCAGTCCCTTCTTGATAGTTGTCAATATCTACGAACGTATCTCCTTGTGAATACAGAAATTAATAATCAAACATTTTGGCAAATTTGTACCGGTGGAGACTTTTTTCGTCCAGACTTGGCAAACCAGACTTGGCAGACCTCTTTGGCTCTCGGAAAAATACTTTATATACTAGTATAACGTTAAAAGTTATAATAGTGGTAGAAATTGGCTGAACAGTACCTCAGATCTTGCAAAGGGTTGCCTATACATGTATGTTACTCTATGGAACTCCTATGGGTAGTAGTCTATTTGGGCAAGATCTAAATCTTCCAGCAAGTCAATGAGTCTGGTATAGACTACTCAAGAGGTGTCTAATAGCACGTGCTGCCACACGTGCATGCAGCTGATCACGCTCTGTACACGCGTCCATCACGTGAACAACCGATCCACCACGTGAAGTCGTCAGCTTGCTTTGTTGTCATAATCCACAGTGTTGTCAATCAAAAGTTAAACACCGCCCATTCCCCAGAGTCCAATAATGACTATCTAATTGCTAAAGTAATACATGTAGAATCACAAGAGGTAATGCATTCTATGACCGCCCAAGCAATCTATTGGAGTCTGATAGAGACAAGATATGGCTCACTTTTAGCACCAATGTACACCAATGATCCATTGCATTGGTCTTGTTTATAAACGTTGACGGATAACAAAATATATTAGCAGCTTCCGTAAATTTAGCCATACAGTAACGTTACCTGTCGTTTGTCAACATAATCTCCAAGCAGATCTTTTGGTGGCTGCAAGACAGTAACACTATACAGTACCACTGTCATAATCATACAATATCAGATGTGCATGGCAGTATTTAAAAACGCCACCCTAAAATTAGTAAAAAAAATGATACCAATGGTTCAAAAAAAAAAAAGGATAGACCTATAAAAACGTCTAAAACACGTGAAAAGCAATGAGTTTTAACCTCGTTAAGGTAGCCGAAGCCTATTCTTGACAAAGAACAGATGAAACTCTTTGCTCAGAGAAAGAACAGAGCAACTATCAGGTTTCAATCTAGTTGCACAAAAAGACAGGAAAACTACAAACTAAATCCATACTGCTTTTTTTCAGTCTCCAGTGCAGGCGTTGTGCGTAGAGCCAGCTTTTCTGAGCCATTTCAAACAGTCAACTGAAGAACGTTCATGCACTCTGTTGTAATGTTCTCGCACCCCGCTGTTTCGTCGTGGCATGTTCTTGGTGGATCCTCCCTGGGCAGGACTGCCGACGCTTTTCTTCCGTGGATTCTTTTTGTTCGTCGAAGACGTTGCTGTTGTTGACCTTGAAGACGCAAGAAACCAGCAGACACCCCAGAATGAAGAGCAGGCTAACCGTGTACAACATCGCCACCCTCAAGACCAGCATCCCCAACCTCCACACCGGAGTGGAAAATTCCGTCCTCAGCGACTCTCTTGTTGATCGTAGAGACATCGTAACTCTGGGCAGTTTTCTCCGCCGTTGTTTAGCTATGGTCGACTTGCAATATCTTGCTCTATGCCGTTCCAAACACAATCTGCTGCGCGTTATTTATGATGCAACTTGTCCGACCAGACGTCCTTTGGTCTTTGAATGGACCTTGAAAGGGCAATGTCTACCAACGTCCTTGCGAAGACTACGTGAGAAACGCCAGCCTGTCTAAAAAATTCAAGTTGCGACAGGAAGTTCAGTCTCAGAATACCTCGGCAGCAGACGGGTACATGCTACAGGGCACGTAGTCCAACAATGGCTGTAAAAGTTAAAATGCATTTTGGCCCTTCGGTTTTTGTCCCCGGAAGTGGTTCAGGAAATGGTTGCGTCCAGAGAAGGGGTGTCATTCTCAAATAAAAGATATAAAAACGCAAATCTTTCACTGTAATTGTAAAATAACCAGTCAAAACTTATCTAAAAAGATGCTGTATAAATAATGTATCTTGTTGGAAGGATGAAAGAAATGGAGAAGCACATCTAAAACTTTAGTATTCATAACGTTACCCCTTTTGTTCAAGAATGAGTTATTCCACAAATAACGCGCGAAGACGCTCCCAGTAGCCAGATGATGCAATCTCTGATTGGGTAGTCATATCCCATCTCCAAGCAGATGTATGGCGCGTCTTTTCATGCAATTGGATGGCGAGGAAAACAGAAAAAAGTGCACCATAAGAAAGATGTTCAAAATGTCTAAAAAGGCGTGCAACAAGCCATGGGTTTAGTTTTGTCAAGGTTAAAAATCTAAATTTTTAACCTGCTTGGTTTTGAGGGTTTATATTTAAGGGAAAAACTCCTAAAACTCTTAGCCAATACTAAACTTGGCAGTAAATGTGTAAAAACATTTAGATAGTCCACGGAAAGTTCTCTATCATAGTCTATGGGTGTCCATGGTAGTAGCCTGGGTGCATTGGCATGCAGACTACATGTACTTAAATACAGGTTAATGGGTTCACAGAGGTTAATGGGTTCACAATTAACCTAAGTAAGAGGCCAATGACTGCAAGTAACTCCTGATTGGCTCCTTTAAATCTCCAAGCAGATATTAGGAGGAAAGATTGTAACGTTAATACATTTAAGATCACCCATGCTTCTTGATTAGCAAAGAACCCTGATAAATGCATGGCACAACATCCAAATAGAAGTGTGTCCTAGTAGGACAACCTCATACAGAGACGATCATTGAAAATATTGGTATCTCCCACAAAAAAGTATCAAATTTTTGTAGTACTCATACTTATGTAGCTTAGATGCACTAGTGTGTTGGCAAACTACTTTGAAGGTTAATTACATTAATGCTACTTATGTAAGAGGGCGGAATGACCTTGATCCATTTCATAATCTCTAAATAGATGATGGGAGAAAGATATTAAAGTGATCATCAATCAATATTATACAATGTGTAGTACTAACCTAGTAGCTGACCAAGGTCTCCCGACCCTGTCCCAAACCATTATCTTCTAAAAAAAACCCAACTATATTCTGATTTATAATCAGTAAATGTTTTCCTTTTGCATCATGTCATTATCAAATATATTATGAAAAAAAATTGTCACAATTTTATGACCTATCTTTCTTCTTCTTAATTAACATATGTGACTGTGGCTAAACCAGCTGCTAATTATATTAGGTGGTGTAATGAACAAGGTTGAGCCATTTAAAACAACAGTCTGAAGTAACCGAAATTGTCCCTTTATTAAAAACCATGAGCCACAAAAACTCACCAAGTATTTCAACTTATTAAGGCCACACCAATTCGTTGGTTCTCAGATTCACCTTTGCAAAAAAAAAATTCTGGTTCTGAATCAACTCAAAAATACTAGACATATTTTGCCCCAAACAGTTGAGGAAAGTGCTTTTTTTCCTACTTGTTACAGCTTTACCATATATCAATGCATTGGTTTGATCAAAATTCATTGTTTAAATATTGACCTAGCCTTTTGTGTTGACCTCATGGCTTCTTTCTAAGCATTTGGGGCTATAATAGGATGCCTAGACCGTTTTTATTTTTTTCGCCCTGTTGCTTCATATATTTCTGAAAAAAAAAATCTGAGAACCAACGAACTAGATTGGTATGGCGGCTGCCCTAACCATCAGCACTTTGGCAGAGCGTACTGCGCCCACGCAAACCTTGATTTTTCACGGTTGTTGTTGGATGTTTGGTCACAGAATTTTACCTGTTGCAGAATATTATCTTTTCCGACATAACATTTGAAAAAAAAACTTTAGACAGGATGTCATCCTTAAATACACGAATAACGATGTTCTGCCAAAGTGCGACGCACAATACATTAGGGTCTAATGTATTGCACTAGGAGTTTCGTGAAGGCGCACTACATTCTGCTGACATGCTACTTACAGAGTCATACCTTAGCTGACATCAAAACATATATTAGCTCTCATATATAGCCCTTAATCTTCTTGTTCATTTCCTCTTTCATGGCCTTTGCTAGTGAATAGTGTCCGTTTGCTGTTGCCGGGTCTACCGCTGTCCTTCCCTCCTTGTCAGCTGCTGTGACGTCAGCTTTGTGCTGGAGGAGGAGCCTGATGACCTTCTCATGACCTTGAGAAGCCGCAGAGTGCAGAGCCGTCCATGAACTCTGAGGAAAGATCGTAGAGGAAACATGAAGAGATGCAGAGAAGTGTAACATTGACTTTCATATGACTGAACATGGGCCAGCATCCTGGTAACCACTCCCCATGGGCCAACCTCAGTCCTACATTTGTACCTATACTACAGGTAGGACTGAGCCTTTTTTCTCTAGCAACCTATCGTTCCTGCCAGCTTTTCACATTACTAACATTGTCCTGTAGATCTAAGGGCCTTGGATATGTAACACTCCTAGTACCATAGAGATACCTTGGACCTCACAATGGTACGGCCCCAATGGTATGGTTACCAGGCTAAAGTTCCAGACTGTTATTTGGACAACACTACATGGGTTTTTGTGGATTTTTTTTTTTTGGTAACAGAACTGTACGTACATCACTGGTGATGTTGACCTGTGCCCCTGCCTGCAAGAGCAGATTGACAGTTGCATCATGGCAGTTGGTTGCTGCAACATACAAAGGGGTTGTCCCTGCCTGCAATAAAGTGCATGAACAATAAATTTTAACAATTCAGTTCAACCCTTTCCCAGCAGAGCTAAGCCTCTATAGTAGCTCTCTGAGAAGAATTGAAACATTGCCTTTTATTTGCTGATAAGGAAGTTCTGGTTGCTATAAAGTTCTGGCGACTTCTTGTAGTAATAGAACTTAAGTCCGAAGTTAAGAGCACACAGGGTGCATCTTATGGGACTGAAAGGAAGCAGAGGGCATAGTAAGTCAATATTCAGCTGGGTAAAATTCATATATAACATAACTCCATGCAGACTTTTGTAAATCAGAAAAAAAAATAAAGTGAGAACCAAGAAATTTAATTGGTTTAAATAGCCTGTTAATTATTAATCTATTTACAACTTCAGGATGTGTACTTACTGCTTTGGTCCTGGTGTCCAGGTCTGCACCAAAGTTGATGAGGATTTTGACGACAGATGAGTGCCCCCCTCTACAGGCAGTCAACAGGGCTGTCTCTCCTGTCTACGACATGCAAAATACCCAAAGGGTTATTCCAAAACATTAACATTAGGCCACACCAATTTAATTTCTTGGTTAACGGATTTTTCTAGAAAAGTAATGGAGCGGGCGGGCAAAAAAATTAAAAAAATAAAAACAGGCCTAGGCATCCTATTATGGCCCAAAATGGTACGAAAGGAGCCATGAAGTCAACACACCAGACTGGTTCAAAATTTAAACAATGAATTTTGAACTTTTAATGATACCATTGCATTGAAAGATGGAATAACTGTAACAATGAGGGAGAAAAGGACTGTTTTCAACTGTTCAGGGCAAAATATGAGCATTTTGCAGTTGATTCTCAATCTTTATTTTTATTTTCAAATCAGAAAAAAATGAAGGGGCGAATCCGTTAACCAAGAAATTAAATTGGTGTGGCCTTAGAACATTACTCCAGAGATTGGCATGTAATAGTAATTGTTACACATTGCTTGTCATATGCATCAATAAACTTTTCCAAGATTTCACCTATTCTTACCTGCAAAATATGCAAGATACTAACTAAACAAATGAAGGAAAAAAGTTTTAAAAGCCAATTTCCAATATTAATGGGTATATTGAGAGAATAAGCACATTTCCGAGCCACATATGCAATATCAACTTCTGGGAGTTTTTGCATTCTATTGATAGCACACTTGGGCAATAAAAAAACTCAGACAAATATACCTGATATAGACCTCTCTTTTGTGTTCTAAGTAACCTGTAAGGTCTAAATTAGTGCATTTTATTGTGACATCTTTGCCACTTGCTTTTTGCCATCAAAGTAGTCTGGTGTCCAAATCAATTTTTGCTGCTGTGTCTCTTTTGTTGGACTATTTGTCCCCTTTCCATGGATGAAAGTAGCCTGGGTACCATCCTACTTGTATGCCGGGGCTCCCACAGTAGCGACTGTGGGAGCCCCGGCATACAAGTAGGATGGTACCCAGGCTAGGATGAAAGAGACTAGGCTTCTAAAATTGGTTTGGATACTAGGCTACCATTGAAGGTCATTTTTGCAGCTCTGGTTTTCTACGTACCTTTGTGGTATAGTTGACATTGGCACCCTGCAGGAGAAGTATGTTGGCTACTGCTCCGTGACCTCTGTTGGCAGCAAAGTACAAGGGGGTCCTGCCATACTGAGGGAAAAAATAGCGAAAACATATATTCACTGATATCCAAGAGCACCACACAATAAGACATAACAAATCTGTGGGCCAGGCAGTGACATTTTCCATGGGAAATTGATGTTGTATATTTTATTATATAATAATTTTTTTATTCATATTGTTTTAATTTCACCTTTGACATCACCCTGATTTTGAGTTCATCCCAATTAAATTTTTTAGTTTAATTTATTCATTCATGTGTAATAAAATATTTGTATATTTCTGTTGTCATACTTTTAAACTCAATAACATGAAAACTTACCCTGTCAGCTTCATTGACATCTGCTCCATTTTGCACCAGACTCACAACTTTCTGTGTATCACCCTGAGCAGCAGCTTTGAATAGAGTACCCTGAAAAGATGATTAAAATGCAATCAGATTCATTTGTCTAAAATTATTTCAGGCTGGCTCATATAGACATCACCATGAAAAGGGCCAGAAAAACACTAATCATCTTAAATTACAACTTGACTGGGAGGTTATTGAAAAAACAACCTGTTAAGTTATGTTATGTGAATGTTATGTTATGTTAATGTTATATTGTTTCATGTTTGTTATAAGTTTACTCATTATTTATGTCTTTCAAGTTATGAATTGTATACTTAGTTTTTATCCTTTGCTCACCATCATAATAGTTGTTTTAATCACCAATTCTCTAAGAAAATCCAAGCATAATATTAAGTCAATTGGTCTTTCTCCTTTCAAGAAATTTTCTAGAAACTACAAGTTTAATGCTTTCTATAACTTATGGATTGTGTTGCAAATTGAAATCTTTGCCAATAAAATTGAAAGTCAAGCTCACGTTACGACTTTCTTATCTTGTACTAATAATGCTCTTCCTTGTTTTCAAAGCACCAAAGGGATTGTCAACTCACCCTACTTGTGTGCGATCGGTCAGTCTGTAACTGGACCTCTCGTTCAAGACTCGAGTGGGCTTGAATCAGCGAAGACTGCTTGTAGGTCAACATGACCTAATATTATCCTCTTGAGGTCAGCTCTCGATGCACAAGACAATTCTACCGATATAACTTAGAAACCAACGTCTGGTGACGCAACTGGAGCATTTAACTTACAAGTACTGTTTTACAAAATTCTTAGCTGAATTGTAATGTTTAATCTTAACACTCAAAGTTCAGAGCGACTGCCGGCTTCTTTTGAAAGGTGTGTCAAATTTTGCTGGAAGTTTCTACCATGTAGCTTCCCTCTCATTGGTCAATGTGCTGCGCGTGGCTAAATAAACATAATTACAGCTGGCTGATGGAAATTTCCACATAGCTTCAGGCAACTTACTTTTGCATGAACGAGTGACGTAACTGGTACTAACATGTTTGCACTCAATACTATCGCAAATATATTAATGTTGCAAGTTTGTAATAATTAACACTTCTGTCTATCACTCAGACAGAAAAAAATAGATCAGCTACCCCCTTGAAATCTAATGTACTATTCCAGAAAGTTTGACCTACTTCTGAGGTGTTGGGCCCTGGGGAATTGATTGACAGGTGATAAGATAAAAGCCCAAGAAGATTAGATAATGTTTTGAATCACGCCCTGGCTGCATGATCAGCTAATTTCAATATTCCCCTGAACAAGTTTATGAGGCATTTACTTGCATTGTAATACCTACTAGCAATTCTGCCTGAATTTTTTAAACCTGCAAAATTGCAAGTTAACAGTTGCAAAGGATCTCTGACCTCAAGATAATGCCAACATTTGTCTTAAATTATTTGCATTATGTTCATCTCAAACTGATCCATTTGGGTGCTGATATATTTCGCTTCTGTATTAAATGTAATGGCAACAGTATTGTAAGGTTAACTGTTATGCACGGCACATTTAATAATCTACTTGAGAGTTACGATAGCAACAGCCTGTTGTGAAAACTGTAAAATACAAGTATAAAAGTACAATATAGTCTCGATTATTGAACAACAAAAGGTCCAAAATACTTCATTATGTCTTGGCTGTATTTTGAAGAGAAACTGGAACATCATACGATGACACTCACTACCCAAGGTGACTTTTCATTGCCTTCGACTGAAGGCTATGCCTTCGGAGAAGGTTATGAAATCGGGTTTGCACTGTTTGGCAGATTAGGCACGATAACTCTTGAAGGCAAGGTCCGAGGTTCACGATTTTTGGCAGGCAGGTTGATTTAGGGGTGGCCATTGTCAAGGCTAAAAATGGGCTTCGTGGGGGGTTCCTAAGTCACTGTAGTTGACCTTGGTTTTTGGTGTTTTTTCCTTGTCATCAAGATATCTCGAGAATCCTTAAATGGATGTTCATTATTTTTAGTGGGCAAGTTACCGTTGAAAATGCCGAGGTCAAGTTCAAAGATGGGCCCCGTGGGGGTTTCTATGTCACTGCAGTTGACCTTTGTTTTTTGTGTTTTTTCTTGTCATCAAGATAACTCGAGAATCTTTAAATGGATGTTCATGTTTTTTAGTTGGCAAGTTACCATTGACAATACCAAGGTCAAGTTCGGATATGGGCTTCGTGGGGGGTCCCCACGTCATTGAATTAGAACGTACTGCAGCGAAACTTCTGGTTTTTACATTTCGTGATATGGACGTGCTAGGGTCATGATTTTTAGATGGTAGGTAGCTCTTGTGCTCACAAAAAAGTGCCGTAAGTTTGCACCCCGTAGCAGCTTGTTTGGGAAATGCAGAGGCATTTGTTTGAAAATGTTTGAAGAAGGATAGCTCAAGAACCGGTTGACGGATTGTTGTTATTTTTGGTATCTCGGTAGCTTAAGTGATGCTTGACCTAATTAGATGACGATTATGCAAATCATGATCTAATTTACATAATTAATGACAGAAGTCTATATATTTGCTGGGTTCTGTGATAAAACAATTAAAATGGTGATGAGGAAATGCTAGAATAGCCCTCTTTGTTTAAGATAAGACTGTCATTGGATGGAAAATATGATCAAAGGATATAATTGCAAGTGAGGATATTATTTCCATAATCAATGTGAAACATTCATAATTTGTCAGTCGTAAAGGTTAACATCATTTGTCGAAGGCATGAGGTCTTGGAACTCTAGTTTAGAAAGATAATGGAAATGCAGAAAATACAAGGAGGTTATAACACAGTTAACCAAGACAATGGAAGCCTCTTGAGTCAACCTTTCCTACACTGAGTTACCCATGTGGCTACCAATTCTCTAATTGTTGTAGGGTTACAGGTAGCAGGGAGAAGGTTAAAGGTGACAATTCAATTTTGTTGCTGAAGTTGAAAATCAAAGATAGACATGCTTGCTTTCTTCCACATGATGGTACATGTATCTTTATTGCTGTTACACCTTTACAGTCAGAGGTACATGTATATGTACTACAATCAACTCCTTACAAATTTCATCTTGTAGGTGAATGTACAATGAAGTAGTTTCACCACATAAAGTTTATAGTAAATGAGATATTTGATTTTACAACTTATAAAGTAAACTTTCCACATTAGCAGTGTCTTTCTAAATTCAAAGTGACCAGTTCTAGGTCTAGGCTTCTACAAATGTGTGAAATACTGTTTCAAAGGTTTTAGAATTCAGATAATAGGTCAAAATTTTATGAACTTGCCAGCGGTTGAGTCCCACAAAAAAGTTACTGTTGGTACGTTTATCTATGGTTGGTTGGGAAACTGGAAACACAATGTTTTTCGGACTTTTTCCCATTCCTCTCTGCTCTTGAAGATCAGTGTTCAGTCTCCATCAAAGTGAATGTGTTGTCTCTGTAGAGCTGCAGCCTTCTCTGCTCTCTCCAGCAACTGCAAACAGGAAATGTTTTCAAAATAAGGTTGTATATATTTTGATGGGAAAATTTTGATGGTAGATTATTAATGTATGCAATGAAATACTAGTATCTTGCACCTCTTTACACACTGATTTTTGTCCGTCAAGATTCTGTCAAAACCCAGAGACACGGACACTGGCTAGAGCACTGCACCAGGGTCAATCTATAAACATAGACAGGGATATTCTACACAGTTCCTACATGATGTAGAAGAAGATTCTTTTTCATGGTTTTACGAGACCGATGAAATACCTACTACTAAGTGTTGGTAAAGTCTTGTGTACTGGATCATTCTTACAAACCTTCTTCGTTCCCCTGATCTTCTTTCTCTTCTTCTTGTCTTTCTGGTTTGGTGCCTGGAACTTCTTCTCCCAGTCTGCTGTGACCTTGTCCCAGTAGGTCTTCTCTTCCTCTCCTGAAATAAGTGTGAATTTCACATCAAGTTAGATGGTCAAATCAAGTTACAGACTCAGCACCTGAGGGTTCTGGGTTCGAATCTGTGGCAGCTCTGTCCTTGGGAAAGGCATATTACACCTAATAGTATGTAATCGCTTGATGCAAGTGAAACTCATCTTATCTTCAATTTATAGGGACATCCTTACAAATGGGACGTGAGCACATGTCCTGTGTTTGAGCCACACCTCAAGCACGTTAAAGAACCCACTACACTTTAAGCAGAAGTAGGGGTGGGAGTAGAAAAGAGTAGAGGTCCTTCCTGGTGTTGGTAGTTCAAACCTTACAGTCTGGTCTCAGGGTTGACTAATCTAAAGCTGATCTGACTAATCTGAATCTTGACAATCTAAAGCTGATTCACCTGTTATGTCAATCCTTCCACAAATGTGGAAAGTCTTGACTTAATAGATAAACAAGAAGCCATAGGTGACAATTCTCCGTGAAGTATTATATATTGCAACAAAAAGAAGTAGCCATTGGCGACAATTCTCTGTGAAGTGTGATAAATCGAACAAAGAAAAATTGTTTAAACGCGCGTCGGCTCAGTCATCTTAAGACGCAACAACCAATCAGAGATGCGAAATGTCGACACGTGACGCGGGATTTGCATACAGTCGAAACAACGGGGAAGGGCGCGCGATGCCCGAAATATTTTTGCGTCAATATTCAGCGCCGTGTTTCAAGAGATTAATACCGGGAAACAAATTCTTTTCTTGTTTTGAACCCATAAACATGCATTTACGCTAATCTAGTATGATTCAGGGTTACTTTTTTTTTACCTGCCATGGCCAGATTATCTAAAGATGTGTGTATTGTGTGTACAATCTACAGAAAGAGAAATGTACATCAGGTCCGATCATCCGATTTTCACGTTTCGGTTTTTGGACTCGGTTCATGAACGTATTTTGGTTTGACTCCTGGAATGTGCGAAAAAAATGACTCCCGGGACTGTCTACAGGGAACACTCGCACATTCGCGGTGTATCAGGACAGCGCGACTGGTCGGCATTAGCGCAGTCCCTGTAATTAGTAACAGTTGCACATCAATCCGGCCGAAAGCATGATTGTGTAACACATGCTACTTCTTCATATACCGGCTCATACTACACGACGCCTTTACAACTAGCAAATCATAAAATTACCCGATCTACTAGTACTGTATGTGCAGTTTACCAGCCCCAGACCACATCCGACCACGAGGCAGAACACATTGATGAGTTGCTCAAAAATATTGTCCATGTTTACAAAGAGCTGCTCCACTAACACTATGGAGCGGCCCAACCCAAAAATATTGGCCATGTGTCGTTGCTAGGACGACCGGCCAGTTGCTACGTGACTAAATACACGCCGCCACTAGGTCGCCACACCCGACCAGTTTGAAATCGATAGGATTACGTCATCGGTATTAACATCAGCCCCGCCTCGACTTACTACCGGTGACATAAACGGACGACAACATTTCAACGGCATGGGGATGTTTCGAAAACAACCATTTACTCCAATATCAAAACAGCTACGGTAAAAATAAAAAGACGTGCATCATCCCGGACATAATGCAACACCACATGCGAAATTACACAGAAATGCGACGTACGGAAGAATGCGTTTTGGCTGCGAACATCTTCCAAAAAACTTGGCATCTCTTAACCATGGGCAAAAACATCTGGAACCACTTATAAAAACCACCCTGTATCTGCATGAACTTTTACCCCCCCACTGCTATTCCAAACAACGCGTTTTCTGGACCATTCCAATTCGCCTCGTAATTGTAGGGGTGCGTCTGCGATATTACATTGACCGCGAAAGCAGCAACGGCAAAAATACACATTCGTGCATCAACACGGGCATGCCCGCAGACGGCGTATAAAATTGCGTGCCGATTACACAAAGAGAACCCAGTGTTTTGACTGCGAACATGAAAAATCAGCCGATTACAACACTCCGTCCGGAGGTCCTGACCTCCTTCACGGAGTAATAAATACCTTTTAGTGCTGTAATTTCGCTGTATTTTTCAGCTGCCTTCTGTGCTCCTGTGGGAGTCTTGAATCTGATGTAGCCCTCAGTCATGCCCTCCTGTATGTCCAGATAGGCAATGTCCCCACATGGCAGCAGCTGGTCCTGACACAAACAACATGAAGGGGCATTATGTAACATTTTTGCACAATTTGTGCAAAATTCAAATGTCTTAATTGAAAAAATCTGCATGTGCATATAATTTACTTTTCAGCATATTTGTGCAATTATCTCACATTTCTGACATTTATGGTTGGAGCTAAAATAGCCCTAATAATGTGCTATTTCCTGAATTTTTCTTGTAGACTAAGCTTATACTGATGGCATCTCTTTCTTTCTCATCCTCCAAATGGTTACACAGATTTTTTTGTGTCAAAGATAACGTATTTGGCAAAATACTTGTCCTTCGTGAGAGGCAAAATTCCTTCCAATGACAAAAAGATGAAAGCTAGCTAGAACACTGATTATGAGACAAGACCAGCTGAATGTTAGATGACTTTATTTCATTCAAAACTAACCTTTAGCTTCTGTCTGGACTCCAGTGGCTCTGCAGGTATGACCTTTACAACCACTCCCTCCACAAACTCAGGTGCTTTCCTCGCTGCCTTTGTTTTCTCTGCTTCTGTAACAGAGAACAGACGATAAACAGATTAAAAGTCATGGGCAAAGCATTCCACAATGTAATTTACCAACTCAGGTGAACTTTCATGGTTATACAGGCTTCATTTCAGGCAACTTTACTTGTTACATCATAATTGTCAGAGCAGTTGGCTCAGAACCAAGAAGTCCTGGGTGCAATCCCCCAACATGCCTGAAGTTGTAACTTAGGGAAAGGCTTTCCACACTGTACGGTGCAGTCATGTGTCCAAACACTGATGAGGACACACATGGATTTGGTGTTGCGAATGTGCCATGATCTGCACATCTGCCACTAAGATGAGGTAGACACCTCCAAACCCTTGCAATCTTGGTGGTAGAAGTAATGTCGACAAAGTGTAAATATGAATTTTCAATTTTATATTAAGACCTGTGACCTCTCGGTACAACTTGCATGTTGTGTGTGTTTATGTTGTGTGTAGTTAAGCCTTGCCCTGTTGTAACATTAGCAGTATGTAGTTAAGCCTCATCACGTTGTAGTAGTATATGTGTTAAACGACTCCAGGAAGATTAGTATGAATGGAAATTCAGTCTGTACAAACTAATGGAGATCGGTTTAATACACAAGAACAGGCATTGTCTTACCAAGGAGGTTTAAAATCAAATTATTTAAGATTCTTGGTCTTACCTGTTGGTTGTTTATCTTCTTTAGCTGCCTGGCCATTTTGGTGGCTGGAGTTCCAGGCTACCAAAGACTTCTTCAAGTTTGCCATGTTTGCCTTCTGCATGGCCAGGTACTGGTTCTTCAGTTTCAACCACTCTTTCCTGTACAATGTAGTTACATGGGTGAAAAAAAATTGAATGTATTTTCTGCATTTAATTCATCACTTCCATACAAAGATGATATCAGAAGTCAAAATTGGATTATGAAGATAATTAAGAAACAAAATCTCACTTGGGAATCACTCTTAATCTGACATCTTCCTTCCTCTTTTTCAGTTCTCTTTCCCGCCTTCTTTCCTCCCTGTGTTTCTTCTTTCTCTTCCTTTTGATCTTTTTCACCTCCCCACTCTCCTTGTGACCTTCCACTCTTGACCTCTTGGAATATGTTTCCTGGGAAAGAACTGATTCCAGCTTCCTCTTTCCTTTCCGTTCCTTGGTGGATACCTCACTGTCTGACACGCTGCCTTCTTCTGCTCTGTCTTTGGCCGCTGGTTTGACTTTTTTGGCAGCGTGTGTCTCTTCTGTGGAGGGAGCTGCTCCAGGGTCGGTGGAACGGCGTTTTCTACCCTCCCCCCTTGCCTCCTTTATCAGCGCCGATACTGCAGCATGGACGCTACTTTCGCCACCTTTCCCTCTGTCTTTTCCCTCTTCTGTTTCAGAAGGATCCCGTTTTGTGTCCGTTTTTTCTTTCACATCCTCTTTAACTTCCTGAGAAGTCAGCTCCTTAGTTTTCTCTTGTTTGTCAGCCTTTTCTTTAGATTTCACTTGTACTTTTGGCTTCTTTTCTGCTGATTCTGATTCAGAAGTACTTTCTTCTCTCTTCCTTTTAGTACTGGGAGCATCTCCTACATTAGTTTCTTGATCAGCACCAGGTTGACCTTCTCCTTCCTCAGTGTTTTCTCCCTCAGCTTTGTCTTTGTCCATCTTTTTTTTACGTTTTCGCTTCTTTTTCTCAGACTTGGGAGTTGTACTGGTGTCATCACTTGCTGAAGGTGGATCTGTAAAATGACAATATTGTAATCTCTACATGCTGTAAGTAACCGTTAGTATTAGTAAGATGTACAGAGGAAAGCTATGGCTGAAACTTAGAATTAATTAGTAGATAATATCTATTAAAAAAACACCATGGTGGCCTTTTTTTCACATCTTATATAATTATTGAAATATTAAGCTCCAATTCCATTTTCCGTCATCTTCCTCAAAATAATTCAAGAAAGCATACTTCATAGAATCATAGACAGCTTCCTGTATTAAACACACAAGTTCCATTCTTGCTTTTCACCTTTTCCTTGCCAAGGAGTGCTTTATGAACCAAATTTGCAAATGGTAACAAGTTTAGGCAGCAGGGAGAAGGTTAACCTGTGGTTGCCTGTGGAGTGGTAGGGACAGGAATGGGTCGTCCTTTTCTGGTCTTGGGGAAGACTCCCATCTTCCCAGCCATGTGGTCTGGTGGGTTGTTCAGCATCTGGAAGTTACAAGCACATGTTGTTTGTTTGAACCATTCTTTATTCATGACAAGCTCAAATTGTGTGGCATTAACAATAACCTACAATGTACACAGCATTCTGTCAAAGAAACCAACCCCAAACCCCCGCCCATCTAGGTCAAAATGTAGAAATGCAAAAAAAAAATACAAATGCAAACATATGATGGACATGCATCTACTCTATCATTGGACAAATCGATAATTGCCACTCTTTCATTGGTTGAACTGCTAATTGTGATGGACAGTCAGGATCAGTCTACTTTTAGAAATTAGAAGTAAAGTTATTTTCAAAAGTCCTTTTTACTACACAGCAATTACAACTTCCCTCCCACCTTACAAGCCTTCTCAGCCTCTTCCTGTTTCTCAAACTCGATGAAGGCAAAGCCCTTGGGGTCTCCCGTTGTCTGGTAGCGAGGGAGACTGATGTATGTGACCTTGCCACACACACTGAAGGTCGTTCTGATCCACTCATGGGTTACGGCACGTGGCAGACACTCCTGAAACATACACAAAAACATCACGTTTACCTTCACATGGCCATGCAAACTAGTGCTCTGTTTATTCTTACTCAAATACATTCATAAAATGTTGTAACATTCCAACTATGTCCTGCAACTTGCTACATAATGTAATCCAACACCACACAGTTTTTGCTACAGTACCAGTTAGCATGGTGACAGATGACACAACATTTAAAAACTACAGACAGGATATTATCCTTAAACATACAAACACAACCCTAAAAAATACATTCAACAGAAGTAGTATGCTTTTCTGACATGCTGACCAGCGTGGTTGCCACTACTTTTCTAACGTTCTAATTCGATCGTTAAGTAGTTTACATACCACATATACTGTACGTTCATCCATCTGAACTGGTTCTGCAAGTGGCTTTGTTCTTCTCACTTTCGTCTTCTCTGCATTCACCTAGAGGAAAACCATACAATATTCTGTTTTGGCCCGTGTGATAATTAAGGGTTAATGACCCGCCCCAAGGTGAATATGGTGTGATAAAGCCTTGGCAGTTGCTATAACCACCGAATAAAGCCATCGAGTGAGTGACAGCGAACGAGGTGGCTTTATTCGGTGGTTATAGCAACTGCCAAGGCTTTATCACACCATATTCACCGAGAAATGGCGGGCCATTAACGCTATTATCAGAACGTGTGATGGAACGCGCAAGTATGACATAAAACACAATACAAGACGTATATCTCACAGTGGTGAAGATTTTGATGATATTCACACCTGTACAAGTTCCGAGTTCCTGAGCGATTTCACCACCATCTTGGGGTCAGAAGTCAACTGCTTCATCTTGTTGAAACTGAGGATGACTGAGAGGTCAATCCCTAGAAAAAAAAAATTAAAGTTAACAATACTTAGTGGCAAACATACAACAAAAATAAACAAATTCAATTATTTCTTTAAGACCAAATTTATAGAATCTTACATCCTTCCTTCTCTTTCTCCATTTCTTTCTTTAAGAACCTGTCTCGGTGTAAGTTGGCATCGCTGAAGTAGAACTCCATCTGCTCTCGGACGGCGTTCTGTAACTTCTTGTCTCTCTTCCTCTTCTTCTTCTCCGGAGGCTGATTCCCAGCATCCCTCTGCTCTTCCTGTTCCTTCTGATGTCTTGATGTTGCCATGGTAACGACAGCTTATCTAAACAGTCAACATCAACAAGACATCAAGAACATCCAAAAAGATGCAATCATTATGCACAACAGCCACCAAATATCTGCTTAGAGAACCTCTGCTACCAGACAACTACCTAAACCTATGGCCTATTCCACTGGATTGTAAAAGTAGGGATGTTTCTAAAGTATGCATTTACTTCAATATCAAAACTTCTACGGTGAAAATAAAAAGACGTGCACCATCACGGACATAATGGCACATCACATGCCCAATTACACAGAAATGCTACGTATAGAACAATGCGTTTTGGCTGCGAACATCTTCCCAAAACGGTCTCGTACCTTAAGCATGGGGACAAAGCATCTGGTACCAATTAGCAACCCCTCCCCACATCTGCATGAAGTTTGAACGGTTTGAACTACCCCCCCGCTATTCCAAACAATGGGTTTTTCTGGACCATTCCAATTTGCCTCATAATTGTAGGGGTGCATCTGAAATATTACATTGACCGCGAAAACGGCAACGGCAAAAATACACATTCGTGCATCATCATCACCAGGGCATGCCTGCAGACAGCGTATAAAATTGCATGCTGATTACACAAAGAGAACCAAGTGTTCTAGCTGCGAACACGAAAAAACGGTTACTCACAATACTCCGTCCGGAGGTCATAGACCTCCTTCACGGAGTAATAAATAAATAAAACCAAGGTTGATAAAACTGTAAAAATTGAACTATAACTTCTTTCTCATAACATGAGTATTTTTTGTTTGTTCTTGTGTGTTACCACTTTAAACTTCTCAGGTTATATAATACCAAGGAGGTTAAACCTTCTTGATAAAATTTTTTATACAAGTAACGTTACAAATTACTAGTATGCCACCACCCCCCTCCCCATAAAGTCAACAACAAATTTCTCATGTTTTTCAGGCCCCTGAAACTCGCTCGGGGGTTCTTATGCGCGCTATCTGGTATGTGCAGCTTCTGTACAATGCATAGTAGTTAGTAAGGAAGCAAAATAAAACCATGAAACCAACCGTGGCCCGGGGAAATAGACTCTTGTCCGTAAACTTGAAAGTCAAAACATGTCAACGTGCATCTGACGAAGCCGCGGTAACCATAGCGTGTAATTCGTAGCCTATAATTCCAACACTCACGAACTAATGCCGTACATTCTGATTATCATCAAAAAGACAAACTCAATTTGTACAAGTATATTGTTTTCATTACTTATATAAAGATATCGCATTACCCGTCGAAAATGGAAATAAATTTGACCCGAATCCTTAGTTGCGAATACGCTGCTTGTTGTTTTGCAAACCCGGAAGTGGTTTAGTGATTGATAAAGTTGTTTTCATTCACAGTGACGCTACCAGCGCATTGCTGCTTTTAAATGCTCCCGGACCTGTCTTCTGTAAGGTTTTTGACTTGGGTAGTTCTCTCTATACATATTGTAGATGCTGAAGGCTTTCTTGAGATCGGAAAGAATCCCTGTGTAAGGACATGTGCTTTGGAAAGATCTTGCATAAACATTCATAATTGTACATGTAGTACGTCGGTCGAGGTCTAGGTTGACACTTTATTCTTATACGTCTACGTTTGCATTAACAGTACTTAATAGCAACCTAATTGCATTAACAGTACTTAACCTAATTGCATTGCATTGCATTGATAGTACTTAACATAACTTGCTTATGGCTATTTGCTTCTCTTCTTTGGCTCTTTGCTACTCAACTGGCGTCAGCCTATTTTTAGATACTACCGGAATGCTAGTACACCGGAATACATACATCTAAAGGAGGGTTAAATATACCGGAATACACAGTGCTTTGATGTGTTAACATCCCAGTTTTGGAATAAGATGACAAAGACATGGCCCAGGAAATTGCTAGAAATTACAATCAGCAATGTTTGTTTAGCGAGGTCAAAGTGAGAAAATAAACACAAAAAAAAAGATAAAAAAAATGAGATATAAAAAAAAAAAAATAAAATGTTTCAAAACAAAGAATGCTTTGATGTGTTAACATCACAGGTTGCTATACACAGTCTACTATAAGCTACAAGTAATGCTTCACTGAGGGACTGAACATTTCTAGAAGAAGAAGAAGAGATGGCTCATTACTACCACCCAGGTCCTGGCCCGCCCGGTGCTAGACCAGGACCAGGTGCCAGACCCGGTCCATCTCCGTCTCCGGGTGTATCCCCACCTCCTCCTCCTCCTGGACCACCTATCCGGAACATCCACGAGGCCATCCAGCAGTACGACATCCCGACCTGCGAGAGGCTCGTCACAGAACATCCAGAATGTGTCAATGAAAAGGGTGAGCTTGTCTTTTGCCTATTAAAGGATCTACTCTACCTTACTGTACTCAGTACTCCACTGTACTGTCCACAGACTTGTTTTCCTAGACAAATGAGTACACGAGTACAAAAGAACATTCTAAAGATGGTCTGCCCTGTTGATTCTTACTCAAATACATATGTATGATGACAGCTAGATATACATTACTCATTAGATTAATAAAATTTAAAAGTAAACTCATTTAAACATATTAGCGAATATATTGGCACCGTGTGAGCATGCAGGAGTCTAAATCCCTGCTGCAGTCCTGCTATAAAATTGCAACATGATGAAACCCAGCACTAGTTACCATGGTGACAGACATCTGGTTCAGGTCATTGACCTTATATGTTTGAAGAACAAGATGAAACAGAGCAAAAACAGTCCCTAACTGGGAAGGTAAATATAATTAAGTGGTTCCCAAAGCTTTCCACAAGAATAATGTTCAGCACTGGCGGCCTGCCTGAAGTTACGGTTAAGTGTTACGGTCAGCCGTACCAAAACATGGAGTTAAATCCAGTGTATTTTAATTTCCTAGCAGATCATACGGTGGCAAGGCAGTATCCATTGGCCAGAGGAGTTTCGGTGGCTAATGGACATTCCTCTGACCTATGGATACTGCCTTGTCACTGTATGATCTGCTTGAAGATTATATTTTGTCTTATTGTCTTATGTTAAGATTTACCATTAAGCACTGCCAGGATCCCCCCATGCAGACCCTCAAGGAGGTACAAGTCTATTTCCTTTCCCCTACAGGTTGGTACGGGTTCAGCCCATTACACCAGGTGTGTATGCGGGGCCTCCCACAGCTGATGGAGCTGCTCCTGGCACACGGAGCCGAGGTGGACGCAACCAATGACTACGGAGAGACCGCGCTTCACTACGCGTGTAAGCGAGGAATCCCCGTGTTTGTGCACCAGCTGGTGGAGAAAGGGGCATCGGTGAGGGCGACAGACAAGAAGGGCTGGAACGCCATGCACCACGCCGCATCCGGGGGAAGCACGTAGGTCACAAAATTATCTGTTATGTAATTTGCTGTTTTATGACACAGGGTGATGTTCAAGAAGATTTTAGCTATATCATAATTATTTATCGGTTCAATTCACACAATTCAGCCTTTAAATCAATGGCTACAAAGTGATGGCATTGTGTATTTACTGTGTAATACTTGTGTAATACTGTGCTGTTTGAAGAATAAACCTGTCCAATGATATGATTTGCAGATATCATCATTTTACCTCTGTCAAGGGAAAGACACTAGTATACAGTTTCTTCAGTGTTTCATGTAATATTCAATTCCAGGGGACCAAATAATGAAATAAGAAATGCTGAAAAATAAATCACATCTTGTTTACACTCTCTTTTATTCAGTGTCTAAAAAAACTGTAAAGGTGAAAAAAACAGTGACTGGCCATGGTTAATGTCTTTTTTGTATAGTGTTTTGCTGAAAAAGGGCCCTTTCTACATTTGAAGGAGTAACCATTTTATCTCAGTTACTTACTAAAGGCTTTCTTCCATTTTACATGTTCTCTTAGTCATGTCATGCACTACCTGTCTGAGGTGTGTGGTCTTGGCTTTCGAGACAAGGACAACAATGGACAGACCGTGATGCACATCGTGTGCAGTGGACTTGCTAACCTGGAGGCCTTCCAGTACTGTCTCAGGGAACAGGTCAGTACATCTCACATAGTACATGTATGTGTTAGCTACACAATGCTAATACAAAGGTATTGAAGATACAGGAGAGAAAATATATTTTCTGCAGTAAAACCCAGTGATGGTTTTGAACTTCCCTCAACAAAAGACTGGGGTGCCACAAACTTTTCCAAACTGTGTTGGAATGGTTAGGCCATACCAATTTAATTTGTTGGTTCTTGGTGCGCCGCTTCCTTTTTTTCTGCAAAAAAAAACAACAATTGTGTCAAGCTCTGAATCTCCAAAATGCTCAATATTTCGGCCCCAACATTTGAAGGAAGCCTCTTCTCTTCAGAATTGTTACAGTTTTTTCCATCTATCAATGCAGTGGTTGAATTAAAAGTTCACTTTCTGAAAAAATCTGAGAACCAGCAAATCAAATTGGTGTGGCCTTACAAGCTGTGTAATCAACTAAAGACAAGAGTGATAAATTCATATCCTCTGTCGTTCCCCCACAGAGGTGTGACCCCACCCTACCTGACCTGGAGGGGAACACCCCCCTGCACCTGGCAGCAAAGATGGGCCAGGGTGTCTTCTGTTGGAACCTGCTCACCATCTGCGGCTGCCAGATGCTCCAGGTGCCCAACAGACAAGGCCACCTGCCTGTCGACCTAGCACGACAGGGAAACACTTACAAGTGAGCTCTCACAATTAATATTCTGATATCATAAAAGTCTATCTGTTGAATGTGTGCATTATCATTTTTCTCTTTTTTTTAGGAATATATTGTGAATATCATTATGATATCAACCACAAGTTGGTGTGTATTGTACAATAGTACCTAACATCTACTATAATTCTGCTAGGTCACATACTAGTATATATGTATCTGAAACCCTCCAAAAATACACCTACATGTAAAATACTATGGGACCCACATATCTAAACTGTACATATCTGAGGTAGCCTGACTAAATCGTGCACCTAGCGGCCGGCCTGCCCAACATTTGCCACCTCCACAGCCAGTAAAAGATTGTGTGAACACAGGCTAATACCTGGGGGTGCTGCACTAGAGATCTCGCAAACACAATGTTTTCAAAAGTGGCAGATATATGTAACCCTGCAGATAACTGGTGATTGAGGTAAAATCTTTCCTGGGACGTTGTTAACCAAGTTTTCCCAAACATGTTGAACCCTTTTTTCCGCAGGCACAGAGAGATCGCCAGCACGCTGTCGTATTTCATGAACAAGAGGTCCCCGTCAGTTACTGGACCAGTCGGTGCCTGGTGGGCGCTCCTGCTCACGCCCACTGTCGTACCAGCGTTAGCGTACTCTCTGGAACAGTGGATACCGTTTTATGGCAGCCTGATGACGGTAGTCGTCTTAGGGTTGATGCTTGTCGTGGTGTTCCGACAAACTCATCGCTTACAACATGTAACACGGTGAGTGGTAACACAATATTTGTTATATATCTGGTATATGTTATACAGATGACATGATATACTCTAACCACTACCAGGCTCACTGGGTGCTGGAAAAATAATAGGAATTGACAAAATAGACTGAACAGTATGACAGAGGAGTTAGTTAGCCAGAGGAGTTAGATTGGCAATGAACATGGCAATCCAAATACAGGTAGGTCTGATTTCCAAAGAAGTCCATCCCACATATAGCACATGTTACAATTTTTCTGTAATTATATGCTGATGCTTTATATACCATGATGCTTTCAAAATCATTATGTCTCAGCCTCGCTCCACTAGTAACAGCTTGTTCTTTGCCCAGTTGGGTGTCGACACCTTCGACGCCAGGAGGCGAAAGCTGACGCACTCTTTTGCGGCTCGCCTCCTGGCGTCCGGTAACGGCATCATCAGTTTGCTCTTACGCTCTGATGCCTTCCCCAGAAGTCAGTTCTGGCGTCGGTACTGCCAGTTGGTATGCAGACCTTAAACAGGCCCCGTTTCTTTTATCCTAGACACCGTATTTTTAAATTCATGTATTTTGTGTTGTCTATGTTGTATATGGGCTTTGCCTGAGTCAAACAATAAATAAATAAATAAATAAATATATTATGCTGTGGACACACCTATCATTTCAATGAAATAGCTTGAGAAAGTCAAGCAGTTTTAGATTTGAGTGTGCAAGACTATCTCTCACTCAATGTATGTTTTTTCCAGATGGTCCAATCCCACCTACATTGCTGCCTTTGCTGGAGGTCTCTTCCACACAGCAGCTTGCTTTTACTTCAAAGTTCTTCCAGATATCCTTTTGCTTTGAATTGGACGCTTACTTACCCAATACCGTGGTGGTACTGTATGAAGAACTATGAATACAGTCATATAGTATAAAATAATTCCTACTAATGTTCTCTGCTTAAATCAAAGACCATTGCATTGTTTTAGAAACTAGTTTCAGATACAGCTTGAGCTTTTGTGATGTCTTTTGTGCATTTTGTGATGTTAAGCAGGGTACATTTACTTAACACCAACTTAACTCACAAACAAACAAACAAACAAACACACACACACACACACAAACATATACATAATGTTGTTTTTTCCTTAACGGAAGCTTACCAATCTGGCCTCAGTTGTTCCTGAGTGTATGTGGTGTGGCAGGCACCCTTATCTGCTTCCCAATGTTCTACATACTAATCAGGTCAGAGCCAGGCCACGTTAAGCGGCCGAAGGTTAACGAGGAAGGCAGGACCATGACTATCAAGGATGTTGGTGAGGGGACCTGTGGGTTAACTGACTTCTGTGGAACCTGTGAGGTATGTGGCTGTTTAGTTCTTCAAGAATCTTAGGAAATTGTATATCATGCATCATTTGGTTGTGAAACTTTGAAGGATAGAATCAAAATACAAGTGGCATGGTACAGTGTAGCTTATACTATAGTTTTGCTTTATAGTGTAAAGCTATAAGCTACAAATTTATAGTGTAAAGCTATAAGCTACACTGTAGCTTATAGTTTTACTTTATACACAGATGGTGTTAATTTTGCCCTATGTAATTCCATAGTTGAGATATAGTTTGAGATATTTAAAATTGAAAAATTTATACATGTATTATAATTGTAATCTTTATTTCTGCCATAAATATGAAAGTTGAAGAGAGATACATTCAATCCTACCCAAGAAGACCACCTGTCCAAGAAAATAATTTAACCTCAGTCCCCTGAGTGCTTTCTTGTTGGAACTTGTAACTGTATTTGACTTTCTGCTTTCTTTTGCAAATTGCATATTGTCTGTAACACTGCCTGTATTTTGTACCAGATTGTGAAACCAGTGATGGCTAAACACTGTAAGCTGTGTGAGAGGTGCGTGTCAGGACTGGACCATCACTGTCTCTTCCTCTACAACTGTGTGGCTCGGAACAACCACCGCCTCTTCGTCACGTTCATAGAGTTTGTGTTGCTAACTCAGGTTGTCTTTGTCTTCAGTGCAGGTAAGGACAGCTCTGTTCTAATGGCTTCTAATATGCATCGCCTTGTGAACATATCTATAGAAGTTGGTCAAAGGTAATTGTTAAACTAGAAAGGTAACATTTGTAAAGGAAATGCATAATGTTTACCTTCGCGTGTGGTCTTTTCTGTTAATTCTTACTCAAATACGTACATATACATTAATTATATATGGTCACACTGTCACAGGAGTATAAATCCCTCCTACTATAAAATTGCAACATTATGTAACCCAACACCAGTTAGTATGTTAACATGGTGAGAGACGTCAACAAATCAGGTCATTGGCTAGGTCAGAGGTCAGTGTTTGGAACAGAAGAAGAAGAAGAGGAGACATAGCAAAAACAGCATGTTTTCCTTCAGTAAACATAAAAAGGCAATGGTAGTCCCATAGCCTTTTTGAGGCTGTAGGGTCAGTAGGTTGTTAGTCCACTGTGTCTAGGGCAAGGCATTGGAAGTCTAGAGCACAGAATTGAAAATTCGATCCTTGTGTACCATTTGTACAAGGAGGTTTAAACCTCCTTGATTTGTGTAGGAATATTAAAGTTCAGCATCATTCTATGATTACTACCAACACAGATGAACTTTCATGATAATGTTTTCTCATGCTGTATAAAGTAGAGGGGATTCATTCCTCAAGCTAACCAACATCTTGCACACGCAGTCTAAACGGGAACTATGCGGCTCCAGGTGTCTTACTGAGGGACGACTGCGTGTGTGAGATGTCGGTTAGCTCGAGGAATGAATCCCCTCTACTATATAATGTTTTCTCGTGCTCTTTTCCTCCAGTCCTGTACTTCATGAAAGTTTATGAAACAAGCACCATCTGGGAAGCGATCCCGACCATCCTGACAGGAGACATCTGGGTGGGGAGTCTGCTGCTGGTGAACAGTCTGTGTCTGTTCTGGGGGTGCAACCTCCTGTCCCAGCAGTACAGCGTTGTCCTGAAGGGTTACACTACAGTGCAGTCGCCCCCCACCCTCATGCCCACCAGCTTCACCTTCAAAGGTCAACTCAACAACTTGGTCAACTTCTACCTGCACAGGAGGCCCCATATAGACTATGATGTGGAGCCAGCCTGGACATGACCATTAGTTTGACACTGTCTGTAACAGTTAATAATCAAACAACACAACTATTCAGTTTTTTTAGATAAAAGACAAATTGTCATCAGTTCATAAACTGTAATATATGTATGACTAGTTAATAGATATTTTATGATGAAATGCATATTACCATTAAATGTGGTTATTATTACCATCAAATTAAATGTGCAAAGATGGAGTGTAACAAGTCGTTTGGTGTGATATAGCTAGCTGCCGCCGCGCCGAGTGCCTGCGAAGCTGGTGTGTTATGCCGAAGAGTAAGTTCGAAATGGTTCATCTGGTAGTGCATTAGGTTGTGTGTGGAGGTGATTATATATAACAGGGCTAAATAATAATTACTTAAAAGGAAGCCGTGTAAACTTCTGAGCAATGTAGCTTTTTAGAGAATTTTTTCCAGTTGTATAATTTATTTTGTACCACAGTAATATGTGACAGAAAATAAAGTTTCTCACCAATGACAGTGGATTTTTATGTGATGTGTTTTTTTTGTGTTTATAATTTCTTAAATGGGAAAGAGTAATTGATATAGACAGGCTAGTGTGGAATTTGTATAGTACAGGAGTATACCTGCATTTTAGTGCAGGGGAATAGAACATAAGGTGTAATCTAGTGATCATGATTTGACATTGTGCACAAAACTTACTTAATCTACAAATGTCTATTAGTAATACCCCATCTAAAATATTTAAACTGAGTAAGAAACAGTTAAAATGGTGTGAAGAAGGTATGGGAGTCTTATTTTCAATAATTTGGATGAGTTTCTTGGATGCGTGAAAGTTAAACTGCAGAATTATTAACGAAAAAGCCCCATAATAGGCTATATTCAGCCACTGTGAATTGGTTCAGCACCAAGGACAGGTTTGCTTGTGTGTGGAAGGTGTTCAATCTACCACGGAATGAAGTCCCCGCGAAAATAAATGGATTTGCAGTAATAAGAAAACTGGACAAGTGTGTTATATTTCATACTATGGTCACATAACAGCTTATTCGTGAATATTTGTCGATAACAGAAATTCTCAAGTACCCTATAGCTGCATTTCATCCATTATTTGACCCTGAGATTAAAATTATAAGTCTGTCGTAATTAGATTATCTAATCCTCCTTCTTCGCCATATATAAATGCCTAGCACCAAGGCGCGCCGTCATTGGTCGTCTTAATTAGGTTACCAGCTTCTCTTCATATTAATTTGACAGCTGTTTTGTACACCTGTGTAAAAGCAAGCTTGGCACGGTCCTTTCAAAATGGCGCTTTCGTACGACCGGAATACTCTGGGCTGATTTAAAAAAAAAGACTTTTTGAGTGCTTTTTAGAGTTTTCGTCGATGGAATGTTTTACTAAATGTGCAGCAGAATGTTTGGGAGTTTTCACTGTGGATTTGTACCGTTCTGGTGATGTTTTGAAGGGAAAATGCGGATTTCCTGACCTGGCGAATTTGGAGAAGACAAAATGGCGAGACAGTTGGGTAGCGTGGCATAGAGACGACTTCGCTTTTTGTTGCAGGTATGTACGTGAACCAGCAAATTGTTTGGCTGACATTGTTTCCTGGCGACTATAGTAGGAATATGTCAAATTATAGTCCGTAAGAAACGAGTTCTGTATTAGAGAGCGACCGTTCCTAATTTTAGAAAGGCTTTGAAAATTTCTATCAAGTTCCCGCGTTTTCAACAACATTTCAGTGCGCGGTGCGCTTGTAGAATATTAAATGTATGTGTAGGACTACCAAGACTTTTTATTGAGCGTTTTGAGGTTATATTTGTTGAAAGTAATTATGTATTGACCAAGACTTTCTTTTCCTTTGTCTTTATTCCACGTGGTTCAAAACACCTGTTGGAATGTGTGCATGTACATAATAAGTATTTTTGATGATCCCGCCAAAAACTCGCGTAAACAAAATGGGGTCCTCAAAACTTCAAGGCGCCGAAATGAATACGATACAAAACGTTTGGAAACTTCAGTCGAGTTGACCATACTTTCGTTCTTCATTAGCATTTGCAGTGTATTATGTATAATTTAAAAGCTTGTTCACTTCCTCTTTAGACTAATTCAGTAATTCTAAAGACCGACCAAGGCCGAAGTATTTGTGTCGCAAACACTACAGTTGACTCCCCGGAAAGGGTATTACTGTTTTCACCGAGTTTATATGTTTTCCATATAAAGTTTCAGCTGAAGGGGTTTGATTTATTTTATTGTTGTTGCTATCCCCCGTTTTTTATGGTCATCAGGTACAGCATATGTTTTACGTCGAGGTATTCGTTTTAAAGTGAAGAAATTTAAGGTGCATGTTAGTATTATTGCTATTGTTGAGAGTAAGCATTGGTTAAAAAATGTAGTAGATAATAGCATTATATTGTCTGTCAAAGGTACGCTTCTAATACATACACATACATACATATTCATACTCAGTTCAGAGTTGAAGCATTAACATAGTTCAGCTTCCAGCACTTTCTATCATACATCATTTCTACAAGTTCTTTTCCACACAGAGCAGTCAGCTCTATAATGTCTTTTAATGTTACAGTAGTGGACGGCCTCTTCTCCTTTTCGCTTAAGTTTTCCACCCGGTTCACCATGCCGAGTAACATGCAACATACCCTAGGTATGTACATTTGGTGTGAAAGAGTGCATACCAAAAGTATGTTGCAGTAAAAATATCTTTAAGCACACTGTTTCTCAAGATGGCGATATTATGGACCCTGGTGATATTATGGACACAGATGTTAACATCAAATGTCTGTATAGTTAGGTTCAACTGCTGACTGATGCAGTAGTGACGGCTCCTGTCTGAACCTGACAAGAGAAGATTGGACAAGACCTGGAGATTTCAAGACCTCAGATGAATTATCAGGTAAGAACAATCTGAATACTGCATGTTACGTACTATTAAGAATTCTTTTTTAGTGTTATTTGAAACAAATGTGTAACTTATGTTGTTGTATAATTAGGTGGCAGCTGACTGATGCAGTAGTGATGGTTTCAGTGTGTAATCTGGCAAGAGAAGATTGGACCAGACCAGACCTGGACATTTGAAGACACCAGAAGAATATCAGGTAAGAACAATCTGAATTCTGCATTTTACCTACTACTCTTTTGGTGTTATTTGAGACAAATGTGTAACTTGTTGTTTTAAGTTAGGTGGCTGCTGACTGATGAAGTAGTGGTGGCTCCTGTCTGAACCTGACAAGAGAAAATTGGACCAGACCAGACCTGGACATTTGAAGACCCCAGAAGAATATCAGGTAAGAACAATCTGATTTCTGTATTTTAACTACTATCCATTTGGTGTTATTTGAGACAAATGTGTAACTTATGATGTTGTTTAGTTAGGTGGCTGCTGACTGATGCAGTTGTGTTGATCTGACAAGAGAAGATTGGACCAGACCGGACCTGGACATTTGAAGACCCCAGAAGAATAGAAGAATATCAGGTGAGAAAAATCTGAATACTGCATTTTACCTATTCTTTTGGTGTTATTTGAGACAAATGTGTAACTTTTAATGTTGTATAGTTAGGTGGCTGCTGACTGATGCAGTAGTGATGGCTCCAGTCTTTACCTGACAAGAGAAGATTGGACCAGACCGGACCTGGACATTTGAAGACCCCAGAGGAATATGAGGTAAGAACAATCTGATTTCTGTATTTTATAATATATCATTTACCTCAGGAGTAATTAGAGACAAGGGTGTAACTTATATTGTTGTATAGTTTCTGTAGGTGGCTGCTGACTGACATAAGCAGTGGTGACTTCTCTCTGAACATGACAAGATTGGGGGAGTGAGACCTGACCTGGAGACTTGAAGGCACAAGATGAAATCAATATTAAGTAAGGAAAATCTAAATTCTGCATTTCATAAATTATTTACTTCAAGATAAGTGTTTAATGTCTGATCTTTTTATAAATAGATCAGGCTGATGAAGTAGTGAGAACTGTCTGAACCCAACAAGACTGGCTAGGAGAAGACCAGGTGACTTGGAGACACAAGAGCAAGATGACAGCATCCACAGGTGAGGCAATGCTTCATAAGATTCCTTTTACTTTGGTCTTAATAAAATGTATAGAAATAACATAACATAAAAAAACATACTGTGCAGTTTTATCATTATCATTTCATGGTCACTCAGCATTGCTTGGAGATGTTTTGCGTATCACACTTAACTTCATCTTTCCATAGTTTAAGGTGTGTCCTGATGTTCCTGTCCAAACTGGACCAGACGGACTCATGCATGCAGCAAACCTGTTGACCTGAAGACACAGTGAAGTGAAGAGGCTGTACAGGTGAGACAATGGTTTACAACTTGTATTAAAGAACTTTTCCTTTCTTCTTGGATGTGTTATTGAATAACTAGGCCTAACATATGACCATTATCAGTTTAAACAAAGCCAGCTAACACTGTTTATATTGCATTGAAGCAAAGAGATTCAATTTTGTGTTCTTATCAATGTATGGTCATTAAATGTTGGCTGGGATGTTTTCTGCATCACAGTGATTGATTACCCTTTCATTTTGTCAGGTGTGTGCTGAGTGCTGGCTGTTTTGTCTGGGAGAAACCTGTGATGACGGCAGTCAGCAAACCAGTTGACTTGAAGATGCAGAAGGAAATGAAGACAGCAAAGCAGTGGCAGTGGGCATAGCTCAGTGAGTATCTGTGTAGTTTATTTGTTCAGCAACACAACCATCACACACATGATGCCTACATATCTCTCAGCCTGCAGCTGGGGGACATTTGATTTTTAACGGCTCTTTTGCACTCATTCAAAGAAGCCCCATTACAAATTGGATGGCACCATCTAATACATTTCTATCCTATAATCCACCTGGCCAATCACACACAATGGTAAAATCTGGGCCCAACAGTCCCACTCTGCTGCTATGGAGATTGAACTCCCCGAACCCGCGAATCTTGTTCGATATGATGTCATTCGAACCGAACGGGCGTTTGATCCGGGATTACCCACGGTCATTTACAGTAAAGTCGCAACAACCGGCTACTTCAAGCCCTTTTTTACTTGGGAACCATGGAACAGGAAATTCCACCTTTCTACAAATAGGAAATGCTTTCAAGACATTACATCTATGTCATGATTTTATTGTGGATATGTTACATGTAACGAAGCTACTGCCGTCATCGTGGGTGACCTTGAAGGTCAGAATTCTTGTATACGCTGTTAATAAAATCTGGGTCCCCATATCCAAGTACATTGTAGCATTTAAGCATGCATGCAAACATGGTATTTTAACCACTCCCAAAAATTGTTCAAATTACCTCATTGAGGGCTTGTTTGGAAGACCAACGATTTCCGCGCCCCTTAAAATCTGAAATTGATCTCATTTGGAAGCAAATGTACACAAAGTTGAGCAAAGACAGTGGACGAATACCATTTGAGGTCAACAAAATCGCTTGTTACATTTTATGTTGACGAGTATATATTGTACTCTCTAATTTCTTTTGTTTATTTTTAAAT